CCTGCTTTGGTTTCTTGGTCTCGGTGAAGAACTTTGCAGAGTCAGGAGGTGAGGTTGCAGACATGGGAGAGGTGTTAGTGCCTGCATTCATAGCAGCAACTGGTGGCACCGGAGTAGGCTCAGTAGAGATGTACGCTGAACCCCGTCGTGAATCGCTCTTCTTGACCTTTAGATGCTGAAGACTCCTCTTGATGCTGCTGCTCGTGCTAGAATTCCGCTTGAGGGCAGCATCTGGCCGTTCCAGAGATGCCGGGCTGCTCTGCTTCTTCTGCTTCTTCTGTGCTCGGGGACTCTGCTCTTCCATCTGCCGTTGGGCCTGGGTCTGGGTCTGGGTCTGGGTCTGAGATGAGCGACCTGACCGTGATGGCGGAGGGGAGATGGAGACCAAACTGGGCCTACCCTTAGGCAGATGGTATGTGACCGGAGTCGCAACAAAGAAGGACTCGTGGATTGGCCCTCCGTCCTGGATGTCGACGTCCGTATCATCATCCAAGTCACTGTCATTGAAGACATCAGCATCGTATTCCGAGGCATGGTCGGAGTAGACAAGATCTTCGAATTCCTCCTGTTCGAATATCATGGTTGCCGGCCTCTCCGTTCGGTTTCGTGGTGTTGCAGATGGACTTCTTGACCTGCTGGCGTTTCTCTGTTGTTCATGCTGCTGCAATTGTTCAGGGGAAGTCTGCAACGGTGGCAGAAGTGTCAACCCACTTATACGCCTGACAGTGTAGAGCGACGAACGGTTGGGAGCATCTGTTGGCCCCTGTCGTCGATGTTGCATCTTCTGCTGCTCTTCGGATAGAGGCATGGTCAACTCGAAACCTCTTTCAGCGTGATCTGTCGTCCCACGGCTGCCTATCACAATCTCACAGTCTGCATTTGGGGGTGAGAACAACCGATCTTCACGGGTAACGGGTATATCTAGTTCTGATTCTGCTTCCTCGTCGGATTCGTACCTGGTATGCGGTACGGGGTGAATAATATGCAGTGATGAAGGTACGACCGGGATACTTTCACCCAGCTTCTCGTTAGATATAAGTGAGTGAACTGACGCGGTGGCCATGACGAAAGATATGTCGGGCGATAGAGGGGGGGAATGTGGAAGCCAGTGGGACCGCAGCCACGCAGGGCCTTCCCTGTCCCTAGTTTATGGAGCCGTCGAAGGTCTTGTGGAAGATAAAAAAAAAAAAAAGTAAAATGGGAAATAAAAAGAAAAGATGAAGAGTCCGTCAGTCTTGTTCTCTTCTGTTTCTTCTGTTGTGCCCTCCTGTTTATATCGCCAACCCCTTGAGGTAGATTGGTGAGCTTAAAATGGAGCAAAGAGGACAAACACGTCAGGAGTCCGAGGAGGTCCTTTGGTCCGAGCAAGGATAAAACGAGTGTTGATGGAGCAGCCGTGGGTGAAGGAGAGTAAGAAGAGGACAGCCTAGCTTCGATATGGAAGATAAAGTATGAACGACAAGAGTTGATGGTGGAAAAGAGAGAGAGATGTGGTGAGGAAATGAGGGTTGAGGCGCCGGCACCGTCTTCACGCACACTTTTCCAGCGGCAGCATCGGGATGAAGCGAGAGTAAGTAGCAGTCAAGAGTGCGCGAGTGTGTCAAGCTGGCCCATAAGTAAGATTAAGAGTCAGCGAAAGGGTAAAATTGGTTTGAAACATGCGATATATCAAGAAGTCGTGTCGACAGGGGACTTCTCCGGGTTTGATCCTTTTTTGGCTCACAGGAATGATCGACGGACGGAAAGTATACTCTCTTTCTCGTCTCTCGCTCTCTCGATCGCTGGAGCATGTATTATCATCTATCTGCTTTTCGGAGGTACCTTGATGTTGCTCCGTTGGTGGGTAGCTATACTAAAGCACGGAGTATCCGCACCGGCTGTATGTAAATATATAGTTGATCGATTGCAGGAGATTTCTTCATATATATCGACACTACTCTTGCTGCTGAGTGGTGACCAAATTGAAGAGGATAAAGTAGCTTTAGCTCCGGGAACAGGGACAGGAACCAAAAGAAAGGGTCATAACGTATGTATATAGTTATGGACCAGCTTATCAGCTCAAGGTCTCCCAAGGGGAAGAAAACTGCATCCGCTTCCGCCCTCTTCCATCTCTGCATTGCATGCACACTCCATGGCGGGGATTTGGACGAGTGGGGATCCAGAGATTCAGCGCAATTTTATATACCGCGAACGAGAGCAAGTTGCATGCATGCATTTTGATGCAAATGCAAGCGCACAGCCCTTGTCTAGTTTGATAGATGGAGTCCCCTGACTGGGCGACTCACTCGTCCAGCAGGCGATGATTGGACCACGGCCGTCCCTGGGACAGAGAAAGCAAAGGAGGATCAAATTAGTTTAGAGTTGGCTCGAAAAGGCAACAAGAACGATGGCGGAAAAAACGCCACTGAATGGTGTACTCCATAACCACAGAGGATGATTGCTGGTTGGCTGCCTGGAGGTATGGCAGCTGGCCAGTGTAACGATGCTCTGCGTTTAGTCTATCACCGACAGAGGTCATGCGGGACATCTAGACAAGAAGTAAAAGAGAAATTGAGCGCTTTGCCGTCTTGCAAGCGAGCTTCCCTTTCTCTCCTCAATCAGACTGGCGAAACGGGCAAAACGTGCGAGGCGAATACGGGCAGCGAGAGGCCATCTCACCACTTAGTTCGCCGGTTAGATGACTGGTTAGACTGGCTTGTTATGGCCCGCTCTTTGGCTTTTTGGCTTTGGGATACCTGTGGGAGACTCCCGTATATGCTTATTCTGCAGACATGCCTGCCCAGCGCCAGGTACAGCCGATGTCCCTGAGAGACACACCAGAGTACACACGCCCACAGAGAACGAGACAGCGGCGAGAGCTGTTTGGTCAGACATGCCCCTGGCGCCGATGAGACAAGCCGATTCCCTGCACGTTGCACTGGGGCTAAAACGACATGGATGACGATTAGTTCGTCCAAGGCAGCAGGGTCATCGTTCTTCGAGAAACCCTTCTCCGGCTTGGCTGGTGTGGCTCTTCGTAGAAGTAGGAAAACGGGTTTCCACTTGATAATAATAATGGGGGCCTGGAGACCTGAATTACTTGTCGAAGCCGAGTCGTGAAGTTAGCTCGCTGTCCGTCATCTTCCTGCCAGGCCAACATTTGATACTTCCGAGATGACTGTCTGAGCCGTGGCTGCATGGCATTGCTGGCTTCAGTGGTGCTCGACAAGGTGTCTTCTCGCTGTCTTGCCACGTTATCGTCACCCTGCTTTCTTTTTCTCTCTTCTGCTAAGCATAAAGTCCTTTTTCTTTGCAGTTGATAATTGACTGATAGTGTTGTGTATGTATGCGGTAGTTCCCCGTACTATCCCATCGATCAACGCCATCTCTGCTGAGGGCGCCAAAACTCGGTGAAGCCTCGCCTGCTCGGGTCAATCATGGAATGACCAGCGACTAGATTAATAGTTCTGAGTTAGCAATCTATATAAGCACCCGACAGATGAATGCGCTGTATGCTTAACTTTGGCCATCCCCTGGCTGTTGCACGCTTATCTGCTTTCTGATATTATATACGCCAGGTTCTCGCTAACTGGCCAGCCCGTTCTGTCTAGAGTCCGCTGGGCACGTCTCGCCGTCCTCCGTATCTGAGACCAGAGGCTGGACTGGCTGGACTGGCTCGACTCTGGGGATGGGTCGGAAGCTCCTGGTGGTGGTGGTGGTGGTGGTGGTGGTGGTGACAGGAGGCGCGGTCGTCTTACTACGTCCTGGGCCGACACAACCCCGTCTATATAATCCACCGAGTAAGCGGCAGACATGAGCACGGCAGGATGTAAGTCATCCGGAAAGTAAAACGATCCCCGAGCGTGCAGAAGAGGGACGACGCTTATAAAATCTCCTCGCCTTGGGAGCTTCTGGGCTGACCGGTTAAATTACCGAAGTGAGTCAGGGTTCTGTAAGGCCGTTGCAAGTGGAGTGGTGGCTTGCTTGGATTCATGTATAATGGTCGTGATATCGTCTGGGAGACGGGACCGGCTATAGCTTGGTGTGCTATCCTATATCAATGTTGTACGGAGTAAAGGGGGTGAATGTACGGGAGAGAATAGAATAGGGAGGATGAGATATAAGAACAACGTCCAACTCGCTGATATTGGTACAATCCAAACCAATCGACCGTCATCTACCGCTACATAAATACAAAGATAGACAAACTGAACAAGAAGAGATAAGGAGCCAAGCTATGAATAGTTTTTTTTTTGCTTTCGAATTCCACTGCCATTATACCCAAAAGAAATAAAAAGAAACAAGAATAAACCGCAATAGAATTGAAGTGAGGAAGACGAAAAAAGGTGAAGAAGAAGGGGGTCAGTCAAATAAAGGGTGTAATGCAAATACAGGTACTAGAAAAGAAAGAAGAAAGAGGAGTTATTAGTATGTAGTAAGTAACGGTAGCAAGTATGGGGTAGAAAGAAGAGGACGGGGGAATAAGATAGGATCAGGAACGAAGAAAAGAGAGGGAGGAAAAGAAGGGATAATGAATCGAGGGAAAGGCAATATTATATTCTGTCCGTTTGTGCTTTTCACTTTTTCTTCCTTCTTTCTTCCATTTAGTTTCATTTGCTTCTCCCTTTCTATGTTGTATATGTCGTAGTGGTTTTTTTCCAATGTGTGTCTTTTTTTGTCATGCAAGATGTTTCTTCACGATGAAGTGAGAATTAGGAGGTAAGGGAGTGTAGGTGTGTATTGGGCGCAAAAAGGATGCATCCCCTCGTATATAAAAAGCCATCTCAATCATATCGGGCGTCCGTACCCAACCAAACCGTTTTTGTCCGTCCGCATCAGCCAAAGCTGGAGGAGGGTATGACTCCGGTCCAACAACTTCATGTCCCCATTCGTACAGTCTCCAAGTATATTATTATACACGTTCATTGCAAACGTATTCAAACGTAATTATCACAAGAAAAACGTCAGAGAAGCCACCCGGTTCAGTCAAGTCGGCCGACAGTGGTCGTTGTGGCGAGCCTCTATGCCTTTCTTGACCTGGTGACAGGTCCGTTGGCTCGGGCAGTGGTGGTAGCGTTTCCGTTGGAAGCACTTCCGTTGGTGGAACCGTTGGAGGCGACAGGAGCAGAATGGCTGCCAACATGGGGAACTTCCATGTTCTTCATGGCAAGAGCAGCTTGCGATCCAGTATTGCGGCGTGGGCGACCAGACTTGGCTCCCTTCTTGTAGGTGGCGAGGTAAAAGGAGATGAAGAGAAGGAGGTATGAGGAGAGGATGATGAGACCAGAAAATGCAGCGAATTCTTCACCTGCGCACTTTCCTGCATTGGGCAACCAGGGCCAGTAGGTCGAGGTAAAGTAGGTGTAAGAGGCAAAGTAAACAAATCCTATGTACCTGTTAGTCTAATCATAACAAGGACAAAAAATACTGACGGAGAGCCAGAAGGCGTATAAAAACAAAAGCCTTACCTAGGTCGATAACGAACTGTGCGATCTGCAGACGGGTGATCCACTCTTTCCACCAGATACGGATTCCACGAGCGCTCTGGAAGTAGTACCAGTACATGACGACATGGACGACCAGGTTGAGGGTGATGGGCACCCAGGAGACAGCCGTGGAGCCGATAAGCTGTGTGTAGCAGAGTAGAGCAGTAGCGCCATGGTGATAGGTATGAAGGAATGTAAGTGGCTTCTTCTTGAGGACCAGGAAGACGGTGTCAAGCAATTCGAGATACTTGGTGAGGTAGGTCAACTATACCTGACAGTTAGCAATCCCAAGATCCGAACGAATGGAGGGCAAAAAACAAGCTTGACAGGGGGGCTGCTAAAAGACGACAGGGGTGTGTGGACACTCACGTAGTAGAGGAGAACCAAGGGCTTAGTCCAACCACCTTCGTAGTGGCAAATGGCATGGAAAGTACCCTTCCGGACCAAAGTGGGCAGCAATTGTTCAATGTAGAGAACCAGTAGGAGGAAGCTGACCACTGTCAAGATGAAATTGTGTACCATGAACAGACCGTTCAACTTCATGGCCGGACGGCTGCGCATGAGCTCACGGCCACCAAAGATGATGACATAGTAGGATATCAGGGCGATGGTGGTAGCCTTGAGGGTCGACATGGGCGTCTGATCGATGACGAACCGGAAATCATCTGCCGAGTAGCCCATGATAGAGGTGTAGACGGAGTCGAAGATAGGCCATAGCTTCACGCCAAACGGCTGATCTATCGAGGGGGCGGAGAAGGAGAGAGGAATGTTGGAGAGCAGGTTGGCCGACATCTTTTCAAATCTGATTCTTTTATTTTCTATCAATAAAACTGGAGCAAGGTATTCGGAGATCTATGATCTAGGTCGTATCTCGTGTCTGTCGGAGGTCTCTATAATAAGGGAGCGGTATCGACCGGCGCGAACGGCAACGGCGGAACGGCAAGGAATGACACCCGGAACGAAGGGAGAAAGCTGGTCCGAGTCTGCCGGCAAGGAGAGCGGGCACGGTCGAGACGCGAGGGTATGTCAATGGCCGCCGAGATAGGTGTTGTTTTGTGGTGGGAATAGGGGGTTGTTTTGGTTTTTCCCAGAGGCGGACTAGAAATGTGACGGCCAAAAAGAAAAGGATAAGGAGATTAAAAAGGGTAGAGAGCAAGCATTACGAGAGAGAAGAAGAAGGAGAGAAAGAAGGAAAAAAGAAGAAGAGAAGAGACCCAACGGCGACAGGCGAGATGAAGCAGAAGAAGAGAAGAAGAGCTGAAGTGAAGGAAAGAAGAAGCCAGCAGGACGAAAAGTTGGGTAGGTTTTTTTTTTTTTTTTTTTTTTTTCTGGCGTTGAAGATATTGGCTTAGTCAGCTGCGGCTGCTTCCGAGGTACAACGCTGATTGGTTGGGTTGAATAGGGGTAAACAGAGCAGCAGCAGAAGAAAAGGCGGATAGATGGCGGGAGACAAGGGCGAGTGGGCGGTAGAGTGAGTCCTCCGTATGGCCAATGAAGATGAGATGGAGATGCACTCCGTACGGGGAGTTATGGTGTGCAGGATGGAGCAGTAGATCGATTGCTGGGGATGGAGAACAGGCACATGAAGCCAAGTTCTAGATAGTGCTAGATAGAGTGCTACGGAGTAGTCCAGTCAGACTATGCTGGCATTCTGCAGGCCAGGCGGTTCTTCTCTCTCACGTCCTACCTTGGAACAGCTTACTCGCTAGTTAACTACTCTCCTCCTGCTGTCCTTTTCACTTCTCTACTTCGCTCTGTTTATTTACCTCTCCTTCCGGGCTTCCTTCCCCTTGCCTAGCACTGCCTTCTACTCATAGAGAACTAGGCCATCCTCCTCCATCACCCAGTCAGGGCTGTTGGTTTAGTGGTATAATACCCCCTTAGCATGGGGGTGGTCCAGGGTTCGATTCCCTGACAGTCCAACTTTTTTGCCGGATTATTTTTTTGCCTCCCTATTATTTATTTATTATTATTTTGCATCTTATTGCCGTGTCTTCTTTTCGTTTTCATCATATGTCTGGCTTGCTCCAGAATCCAGTCAGTGTCGCCGAAATACTAATAGCTTGCTGTTGTCTCGGGTGGTGTGACGGTCCCGTGACCCGCACCAAGAACATCCAAACCAGCCAGAAAATCTTCCTTTCTTCAACGTCACAGCAAACAACAACCACTCTTCGACCGCTGCCACCGTGAGCTTCTGCCCCTTCGCTCGCCGTCAATTAAGCTGCTTCCCTCTAATAAAGGCTGCTACAGCTCTCCCTCCGCTTCCGAGCGTCTAATTGACCCTTAGTCCGTCCGCAATGGCTTCAACAACCCTCTTCCGCCTCGCTACGCGCACTCCGGCCACCTCTTTCTTCAAGGCCGCTCCATACGCCGCTCGTGCCAGAGTATCCGCTGCCGTCCCTGCCCCCGTCTTCAGAGCCAGCGCATTCAGCACCACTCCCATGCGATTCAGCGGTGCTCACGAGGAGGAGACCTTTGAGCAGTTCTCTGCCCGGTTCGTCAGCGCCAGCCGATTTCCCAGACTTGAACCCATCGAGAAAAAGAGCCATTGCACATCCAATGAACCAGAAATGCTGATTGAAAATATTATATGGTAGATATGAGAAGGAATTCGACAGTGTACAGGACGTTTTCGAGCTGCAGGTTAGATGACCTTTATTGGCATTTTTTGTTTTTGCCTTCCACCAGACGACTCATGTGGTTTATATTTGCAGAGAAACCTTAACAACGCTTTTGCTTACGATCTCGTTCCATCCGTTGCCGTCATGACTGCTGCCCTCAAGGCTGCCAGAAGAGTCAACGACTTCCCCACCGCCGTCCGTGTCTTCGAGGGTACGTCTCTCTAGCCTGACTATGACTTAGCTTCATTTTTGACGTTGCTGTGTATCTCCTAACTTCCTATCTTCCTTGTACTAGGCATCCGATCAAAGGTTGAGAACCGATCTCAGTACGAGGTGTACCTCGAAGAACTCAAGGATCTAAGAGAGGAGCTCGGGATTGTTCTCCAGGAAGACCTATACCCACAGGAGTCCAAGTAGGCTCGCTTTCCACGGCCTGCTTCCCCTCTTCTTTTTTGTATCTGAATAACTACTGCTCTTGTTGTAACATGTCACCATATAGATAAAACAATTCTTACTTGTTTCCTGTCTATACACTCTCTTTCTCTCTCTATCCCGCTCCCTCCATCCGCCCCTCTCATCAATTACCATGTCACAATGTATATTCTTGGATATATAAAGAGTCTCTTCCATCATCACTTCCGATATTCACATTTATATATATATATATATATTTCTCAACATTAAAAACAATTAATCAAATGTATGTTTAGCCGGCTAAATACAACTATTTACTCTATTCCGTATATAATAATTTTATTCTACGCATCCAACGACTGATGAATCACATTCGCTCTATAACTCTCGCATCTCTCCACGAGTTCCGCATGTGTTCCCTGATCGACACACTTTCCTCCCTCAATCATAAAGATCCTGTCAGCTCGGTGGATTGTGTTCAACCGATGCGCAATAGCAACTATAGTAGTCTTTCGAGCCACCTTCGCCAACGCATCTTGAACGTGCTTCTCGCTCTCAACGTCAAGAGCACTCGTGGACTCATCCAACAGTAACAACCTAGGCTTCCTAACGAGTGCACGGGCAATACTCAACCGCTGCCTCTGGCCACCACTGAACTGTTTCCCATCTTGGCTGCAGACAGTGTTATACCCGTCAGGCAAGGCGGCGATGGTATCATGTATGTTGGCCAGACGACATGCTTCTTCGATCTCTTCCTGCGTGGCCTCGACGTCAGGGCGGGCTCCAAGCCCAATATTAAATGCTACCGTTCCTTCAAACATGACGTTCTCTTGTGGTACGAGGGCAATGGTATCTCGGAAGGCCGCACCAGATTGCTTAGTGATGTCTACCCCGTCAATGATGATAGACCCAGAGGCTGGATTATAAAACTTCTCCAGAAGTGCAAAAGTAGTTGATTTTCCTGAACCAGAGGGACCAACTAAGGCGCAGAATTGGCCGGGGGAAATGTTAATGGACAAATCATCTAGGGCCGGTTGGTTGGGTCGAGAGGGGTATCGGAAGTGGACATTGCGGAATTGGACGCCCATGCCTTTTGTGGGGAAGGATGAAGGCGTAGTCGTAGTTAACTGCGCCTCGACATCCCTAGGCTTGTCCTCGAGCATGTTAAACCTTGGATCGGTGTGTTTGGCACTTGCTTTCGAACCAGTCTTGTCGTACTCTTCGTCTCCCTCGTGCTTTATGGATAGCAGGTCGACGATATTTGACGCCGCAATGCGGGCTTTGGATATATCCGGAACCAGAGCAAACATCTGGCCGCACGACTGAGTGCTGAACAGGAGAGCGGGCAGGACAATGAAGAACTGAACCTGTGTGTACATGCCTGCGAGAATCTGCTGTGATCCCCACCAGTATGCTAATGCATAGACCAGCGTGCTGATACTGTATGCCAACGAGAGCCAGAAGTTTCCGTGCAAGACAGACTTCATGTTCGACTTATATGGTGCTTTCAGAGAGCGGTTGAAGACACTATAGGCTTCTTGTTCCAGAGAAAATGCTGCAATCGACTTGATATTGTCGACTGTTTCCACTGTAATAGCCGTTGCCTTCGCATAGGCCTTTTGGTGCTTCTTTTGATATTGAGCCATTACACGTAGCCGAAGGACTCCAGATGCCAATAAGACAGGTAGAGTAGCCAGAAGGACTACGGCTATTTTCCATGCGATGACGTGAGACAGAATAACACCCGCAAAGAGGTTCGCAACCGTGGAAAAAAGGACACCGATGGTTGTACCTGTCAAGCTGCTAAGAGCTGAAGCATCGCTTGTAACTAGGGCAACTAGTAGCCCAGGCGTTCGTCCATCTGCATTATGCCATTCCAGCGGTTGACGGAGCAGTGACCGAAGCGAGAGAACTCGTGTACGATATAGAGTCTTTTCAGCAGCCCAACCAAATGCAGCTCCATTCACAATCACAGCAGCAAATTTCGCAACTGCAAGAATGAAGAAGAGGAGACCAAAAAGCATACCGCTGGATCGAATGCTTGGGCCACCTCGACAGACGCTCAGACTGCCTACTGTGTGACCAAAAATGACCGCTTCACCTGTATAACTGACACCAATCATAATAGAGGTAATCAGACCAAGTGAGATGAGGAGGAGATTGGGTCGGATGAGTGGGAATGACCCTCTCATCGTAGCCCAGAGAGTCTGTTTTGGCTTCTCCTTTTTCGCTTCGGGTTCAGTTGGTAGACTATCCGCTTCTTCAGGCATATATAACTGAGCCGGTTTCTCCTTCTCGTCTAGTACACCTTGCTCAAGGGATAATTTTTCTTCCTTGTTCAGAAGGGTATCAGTAGTGAGAGATCGGTCAATGTTCACATCAACCTGGGTAGACTCGGTCATGATAGAGCTAGAGGAACTGAATTTCCCTATGTTCTGCAGCCGTACCATACCGGCATATACACCGTCACGAGCTACGAGATCCATGTGCGTGCCTTGTTCCATAACTTTGCCTTTCTGCATGACAATAATGTTATCAGCATCCTTAGCAGTAGCCAGCCGATGTGCAATTGAAACAGTCGTAACGTTCTCAGATACTTTGGTCAACGCTGCTTGTATCAACCTCTCGCTAGTAGAGTCAAGAGCAGCCGTGGCTTCATCCAACAGCAACACGGGAGGATCACGGATAAGAGCTCGGGCTAGTGCAATGCGTTGTTTTTGGCCACCGCTTAGCTCAGCACCAGAACTTCCTACCCTCGTTGCTAGGCCATCTGGCAATGCATTGATGAAATCAATTGCATTTGACAAGGTAGCTGCATGGCGTGCGAGGTTGACAATCTCTCGAACCACGTCTCCCTGCTCCGCTACAGCTTCGTCTTCACTTGCACCTTGACGAATCTTCTCAGTAAGTTCAGAAAGACTCGGGCCCAACAAGATGGGAAGAAGGTGCTTGTGTTTCTCTTGTGATGAACTAACAAGGCCATGTGCGATGTTCTCCAATATAGATCGATCAAGGAGGTTTGGTTCCTGCTGAACTAGGCCGATGCTTCCACGTAAATGCCGAACATTGATTTCTTTTAGGTCCCGGTTGCCAACCCGGACGCAGCCAGTAATGGGATCATAGAGACGCTCCAGTAGGGCTACAACGGTTGACTTTCCGCTCCCTGATGTTCCAACGATGGCAGTGTGTTTATTCGGGGGAATCTTGAAGCTTACGCCCTGCAACACTGGAACCTCAGGGCGAGCTGGGTAGTTGAACGTAACGTCTTGAAGCTCGATTTCTTCCGAGGCCAAAGATATGGTCGAGTCACCCTCAGAAGAAGTGCCGTCGATGGCAGATTGGCGTTTGATTGTGGTCATAAGTCTATCACCCGCAGAAGCTGCTGAAGCAAAGATATGCATGAATGGAGCCATCTGACTTAAAACAAAGGAAGCTATAGGACATTATTTAGTTAAACCGTTCTTTCAAATGGGTGAAGATACTAACCATCTAGTAAAACGAATATCACGGTGTAAACAGCACCGACGGAGACCTTAGAAGGCTTGCCCTCTGCAAGGTCAGCAATCATTCTACTACCTTGCCAAAAAGCAAGTGCATTCGACGCGTATGCTACGAAATAAAGCATTCCAAACTGTATGGAATGGGTGATGGCCTTCTTCAACGCATCCATCCTTGCACTGACGAGGTGTTGGGCGAATAAGGCTTCCAATCTGGCATTCGCATTGAAAGCATGGACGATGCTCATATGTGACAGACTGGACGAAACAATTGACGTGGCAGCATTTATATGGGTTGAAATCCTGCTAGAGTATTTCTTTATATAATGTCCTCCGCCAAAGGCCATTAGAAAGTAGATTGGTACAACCGACATAAGCATGGCCGCGATAGTAGCAACTTTGAGAAATGCTACGATATAAGCAGCAACAAAGTACGAAATAGTACCGATGAACAGGCCTACTTTCTCTGACGTTCCAGCCTGGATCACTTCGATATCACTGACCAGCCGAGAGGTGACATCTCCTGAAGGCAGAGTATCCGTAAAGGCAATCTCCTGTCTCAAAAGACTATGGAAGTATTTGGTTCGTAGGCGTCGCACCAGGCGTTCGCCAACCATGCTCCAACACCCAGTATGGATGTACATGCACACAAAATTTAGGATCGAGGCGTAGATGACTTGTAGCACCTTTGTGGTTATAGCGGCCTGGTAGCCACCTGGCGGAGCTTGAGTCGTCGAGCATGTCGATGAGTTCAGGTCGTCGACTAATTCACCGAAGAGGATACCGAGAAGAGGGAATGGAATACCAGCGCCTATTCCAGCAATGGTCCCAATAACGATAAGTGCGATATCAGTTTTTCCGGGTTGTGTCCCAAACAGAAGGCGAAAGTATCCAAACGTAGGGGTTATAGTGTTTTCCCGGGAGAAGAACTTCTGTGTCTTTGTCCACCACTTCAGGTATACGTTAGGGAAGGAGTATATAGACTATGAGTAATTGGAACAACCATACCTCTGGCTCACTCTGCTGTGATGACGGAGCTAGGATGCCAGTATTTGTCATGGCCGCCCCCGTAGGAGAATTCTTCTCTTCCACTGCCATTTAGAAAGATGGAGAGAGCTAGGCTTATGCAGGTGCTACACTTTTCTCATCAATCACAAATGGTCCGCGTTCCCCGAAAGATTGTAGGTACGACGAAGTGATGGGAGGAAAGCAGGCGGAGGATATATTTCAACCGAGTCCGTGTAGTCCATCAGGGCTTCGGAGGTGAGAAGATTTGGCACTGAGTCGATGACATGTACACAGTCATATCCGACTAGGAAAAAGCCTACGAAAATAAAGAGCTGAGAACGTCTCCTCGCATTCGGGTGGAGAAATTTGGACGAATACATGTCCACGGTATCCCTAACAAGGATTCCAGGCACGTTCTTGGGGTGAGGAAACCTTTTCTTTGGGAACGAATAGGTGACATAGCGGGACCAACTGCGGATGAAGACTCCCTTGGGCGTTTTTCTTTTTTCTTTCTTCTTCTTATCAGATGGGAAGGAGGGGCCAAGGAGTTACGAGGGCATGGCAGGCCCTGTCACTGGACAGGATCATTGCCTCCATGAGACAACCGAGAGACCGCGTCAGGTGAAGAGGGAAAAACGAGAGGAAAAGCCTTTAGACAAGGGGTCACATCCCGCTGCGAAGATCTGGGACAGGGCACTGAAACAAATTGCCATCCATTGTACGGAGTACTCCCCATATCGTCGTCGAGGGCAAGAATATTAAAGGAGCACGTCGTAGCGCTCTGTGCAAGCACAACACGAGAATAGGGAGCACATGGAGCACAACGGAGCAACACATCGGCATGTCAAACAAACGGAGCTGGTTGGAGAAGAAAAGAAAAGAAAGTGATAAGATGGAATGGCCCCACTTTATTCCATCTGATAACTTTGTCTTGACTTTTTCCCACAAAAAAAAAGGAGGCCAATGCTGTCGAACTCGAGCTTGTGATGAGACGAGACTGATATGACGGAGATTGACTCCGAGTTGCCAGTAGAGGCGCCATGGCAGACGTGGTTTGGCATACGTTATTGGGCCTCTTAGCCACGCATCCACCGCGCCTGACAAGGCTCCACGCTGTCAAGCTTGGTGTTTGCTGCAGCAAGACCAGAGACAAGAAACGAATGGCGTTATCACCTCAGCGCGAGAAATCCTCGAACAGCTCGGCTGTGGGCTGCTGTGGGTATCGGGGTATGTGGTGCCAACGGAGAGCGAGTACCCCAGGGGCTCGCTTAGCTTCCGTAACAGCATTTTATCAGATGGACAAGGACGGAACAAACGGCATCGCCGTCGTCGTATGAAAAAATCCAATTTGCAGCGCAAAAACCCAAAAAGAAGCATAAAAGGCCGCACCGGTAAGGTTTGCTGACTAAGTAGTGCGCTCAAGAGCGGCCTGTGATTGGCTGGACTTGCCACTTGTCTCATGCGGCCCCTGCAGTTCTTATGTCTTATGTAAGCTGTCAAAGCCACCCCCCCTATCCCTTGCAAATAATAGAGACCATTATTATTAAGGCATGATGAATTTTTTTTTTTTTTTATTTTTTTATCTGATTCCTACAGATCATTCCCTAGCTCGCCGGTTGCATCATACGTTACTCGTATTCCAAGGCTCTGGTGACGACGGGGGAACAGTGCGAATATATTATGCCTGGACCTTCCGTGCCACCTCGAGAATCTACTTCTCTCTCCCCTCCCCTCGATAGGAAAAGAAGACGGACCGAATACTCTCTCCCCAGGGACTGCGCATGCTCAATTGTCTCAGGATCAGTCATGTCGAACTTCTCATTACTCTCCCAGGAGCGTGCTCCTTTTCTTCGGATTCCTGAACCCCAGAATGCTACCTATGAGATTGTTGAGTCCACTCCCGGCAGCCAGCCAAAGTCCCTCAGGGTTCAGCTGTGTGGCGAGACGGGTACAGAGTCGAAGCCTGGGAAAGTAACACTTCACCATTCCTGCCTCACGTTCACAGATCTGTCATTGGAAGATGCCTCGAGGGTTCCTCCAGACAATAACAATTCAGCCTGGGCCCGGGCGAAAAGGAGTCCGTTGTCTAACATGTCGTGGGAAGGAAACGATACTCCCACAGTAGGGCAGGTATGGATTGTCGTCTATGCCATTCTCACAGTCCATCCTGAGCTTGAGGTATTTAGAATCACATTAAATGGGACCGGAAGTGATATTATAGCTCGTCAGCTTGAGGCTGTCGGGCTTGTTGTTGCTCACCCAGCGCCCGGCGCACCGCCAGGCCAGCCTGTCCCAGCATCAGACGATCATGTTGGCCAGTTAGTTGTCCTTCGCAGGTCTTTCTGGCAGGGTGCTGGCTCCCCCTTTGGACCCAGGCCGATCTGGGTTGCTGGAACGGATAATCGAGACATCTCCCCGTCGTTTGAGTCTGCTTTCCCTCCCAGAGCACTGGACTACGCCTTAACCACCAAATTCCCCACGTCACGCATTCACACTACCCACCCAATCCGACCTGCTAAACCAACTCCAGGCTCGACTATCTACAGCCGCTATATCCCACATTTAAAGGAGACATTCTCTATGGTTGCACTTGATTGGACCAATGAGGAACATGTCAACCTTTTCCATGTATGGCAGAACGACCCCAGAGTTGCTGCGGGCTGGAACGAAACCGGAACGCTAGAGCAGCACCGTGCTTATCTGCGGAATATGCATGAAGACTCCCATCAATTCCCTGTGCTGGGCAAGTTCGACGATACATTCTTTGCCTATTACGAAATATACTGGGCCAAGGTAAGTGATCACACGATCTATACTTTAATCAACCGTTTAAAACGAGTTTTGACTAAAATTAAAATCTATAGGAGGATGCCATTGGACCGTACTACGAAGCCGGAGACTTTGACCGTGGCAGACATTTCCTTGTAGGAGATGCTCGTTTCCGTGGTCCTCACCGTGTTAAGGCCTGGCACACCTGTCTTACACACTACATGTTCCTCGATGACCCTCGCACCAACTTGGTCGTTGGGGAGCCAAGAGCCACCGGCGCCAAGGTCCTTGCGTACGACCAAGCAAACGGATTCCACATTAATAAGCTTATTGACCTGCCTCACAAGCGTGCTGCGTTAATCATGTGTCCAAGGGAGAAGTTTTTCCAAGATCCTCCTTTCGAGTACAAGGAAAATTCATAAAAGCCTGCGGCACAGGTTAACTAGTTACCTGACTTGTGATGAGAAGAAAAGAGCACCTTCTTTCAGTGTAGGTGTATACCTCTCTTTTACAAACAGCCGTTATAGATGTCTAGGCTACGGAGCACTCCGTATAGCATCTCCATTGCATAGAATGATAATATACTAGAAGTTCGTTACACCAGATCATGCAGATACACGTCAAAGCTACACTTAGTATCCATTAAAGTTCTCGAAATTTTTAGCTCGAAAGTTACTACTGCATACTTTGAAAGGGGCGTCATCAGGGGATCCCAGGGGTCTGAAGGATTCTCCTGTTAGTGTTTAGACTAAAGCATAACAAGAGCTGCTCCTTAAGTTCATATACATAGACTAACGAAAGGGGGAAACGACGTTCCCAAGCGGCACGACAGCCCTGGCATAAGGGACACTTGGGCGGCCGGATCGGGATCGACAGCGTTGATCTCAATTCCGCATACGGAGTACAGAGTCATTCACTCGATATGTACCAGCCATGCTTGCGATGGAAAACGCCCTTGATGCCTGCAGCCACCTGCATCACCCCAGCCGAACCGCTCGTAACCACAAGTTAAAAAAAAAAAGTGTGGAATTCCCGAAGCTTACTAACTAGTTATAACTATAACAACTGAGGAGAACAGCACCGTATATGCATCCTGCATGCACGGAAGCCCACCCAAAGAGAAGCCACAAAACAAGCAGCGCTACAGCCCTGCCTTGTCGCGCTGAGGCCGGAATTCCAAACCTGGCCAAACTCCTCGGTCCCAACGCACATCACTGCTGTTTTCTACCGTCTCATGCATGAATTACAGGAATGGCGGCAAGGGCGAGGAAACAAACAAGGGCTGAATCGCTGATATCAAGCAACGTTTAAAGTTTTTTTCACCCCCAAGAGACGAAAGAGAAAAAAAGAGAAAGAAAAAAAAAGCTTGGGGACCGAACTGAGTGCGCCACTTTTTGTCAAATGCAATCCAAGATGGAAGGAGAAGAACAAGAAGAAGAGAGGGAGAAGATATATAGAAAGTATTAAATGTATACTATCGAGGCCGGACGCGGAAGTGAAGGGGGAAAGGCGAAGTAGAAAGCGGAACCAATATCGAATAATACAATCCTGACGCTTCGGTGTAGCTAAAAAAATCATCCCATATCGTCTCACAGCATGGCAGCGTACAGAAAAGCGATACATTGCTTGCGTTGTGAAAATTCAAAGGGACCAAGAACGGAGCACGAAAAAAAATAAAATAAATATCTGACGAGTTGGTCAAGAAATATTAAAGAGAGTATAATGTGGTCCAAGGCCAAGGGTATGATGCAAAAAATGCATGTGGTTCGAGAAGTTTTTTTCGTTCGAAAGGAAGAATTAGAAAGTGGAAATGACTCAGTCTGACTAGTTAAGCCTTAGGTTTCCTCACGATATAGTATGTCAGGAGTGGCCGAACGTCTTCTCCGGGAGAGTTAACAATGGACCAGAACTTCTCTTCAGGCTTTACCATCTCGTGTAGTTCTAGGCAGAAGTCCATGACTGCGCGGCGGACGTCAGGCTGAGGATTTCTGAGATTTTCGCTGGCAAACTTGCCTAGCCGTTGGAGTTCGGAATCATCGAAGTAGAGCTTCTTTTCATTCAAGCGGTGAAGGAGTCCACAAAGGACATATGTGCCCATGGATACCATCCGGCTTGCTTCTATTGACTTATCTTCTGTTTCCAGAAGTTGAAGAATATCGTCCACTACCTCTTGAGGGTTGCAGGCACTAACGATATCTTCGGAGGTCTCTTCAAGGCCAGAAACAATGTGATTCGTGATTTCATAATGTTTCCTTGTCCGGATGATTGATACCATTGCTCTCGAGTAAAACTTGGAGAAATATTCCCGGTTTTGCGATAGCATGAGCCGTATAGTGAAGAGAATTTGCGTTTTGAGGTCAAAGGATCGGCTTGTACTCGATACTCTGTTTTCATCCGGTGATTCTAACGCATCGAACAAAGCAAGCAAGATTTGAGAATACTTTGCTTCATCATTTAAGATAGAGTCATGGTAACGGATAAGGCTTTGGAATTTTCTATACCCATGGACATCTAGAGCCGAGGTTCGAATTCTCATAAGCCCTCTATCGACCATATCTCGTGCCCGATTAGGATCCTTAGAATGAGGGCTGAGGCTTCTTCGCTTTTCTGATATTTCAGCCTTCTTCCATCGTCGATGGGAGTTCTCATTTGAGGCAGAGGCCGGAGGTGAATATGAAAGTGGAGAAATACTCTGGGCATCCTGGTTGTATTTGCGATTGGTGCTTGAGGGTTCATTGAGTGGTCGGGCCTCAAGAGGTTTGGTTTTTGAAATTAGTCGGTTTGTGTGAGGCGTTGTAGGGGAAGAAGTAGAAGCCTTTGAGGTCGGAGACTGAGGATCCTCATAGACTTTGAGGGCCGTTGCTCCGTTGGATTCAGCAGCGGTTGATGGTGGTGAGAGTTTAATAATGGAGGAGCTTTCTGGTTCTGAGGGTCGAACATGGCTCTTTGGAGGAGTGCGTAGGGGGCTAGAGAGAACAATTTCCCTGCTGTGTTGGCGGAATTTAGGAGAAGTAGGGATTTTAGATAGAGGAGTTGTGCCGAGTACGAGTTGTCTAGGAGGAGTTATTTGACCGCCAGTGATAACTGCGTCCTTGTGAGGATCTGGCGGTGCTTGAGGCGTGCCTTCAATGCGGGACGACTCTGTGGGGTCGGCATTGACATTCGGAAGGTCAGCCAAATCACTAGCGGTTTGGTTATCATTTGGAGCTTCAACCGGAGGCTCAACAGGAATGTCGGCTTGCGTGGCCACCGGGGTTTCAACTAGGGTTTCAGCTGGGGTTTCATCCAATACCTCAGCTGGCTCAACTGCTGCTTCAATAGTCGATGCGGGTGCTTCCACTGGCGCTTCGGTTGATTCTTCATGCTGGGGTTCAATAGATACTTCCCCTGGTACTTCAACTGGTGTTTCGATGGAAGCTTCTGCTGGCGCTTCCATTGGGCTTCTATCCACTGATTCTAGTGATGTCACCACTGAAGGTTGAACTGGAGTCTGAGGAGCTTCTACTTGTATTGGGTCATTGATATCAGGCAAGACAATGGTAAAGTCTTCGTGTGCTTTGGTCGGGCTCAAAATATCTTCATCGAGTGTCCGAGAGACTGGGATGGCTGCCTCAGGTTCAGGTTCTGGTTCAGGTACAATTTGCTGCTCCTTCTCCGGCTCTGGATCAATCAAATTGGTAGTTTCCGGTTCAAGCGGCTGAGCCATCGGGGGCTCGGATGCTGCCGCTTTCCTTTGAAGAGTATTTGTTGTTACACCTTCCATCCTAGACTTTGGCCTTGCCGGAGGGTTCCTTGTGCGGGGAGCCGGAGCTGTCTTTGGAGAAAACCTTTGTGGGCTATTGGTGGGACTTAATACCTGAGATTGAGCACTGAGGGGGGCATTTCTTCGGGAATAAGGGTCCGCCGTTGCAGGCCTCGGCAGCTCCGGTCTGCGAGAGCGCATCCCGGGCCGCATTGGGGCAGACGAAAGCGAGCCTCCTTGGGCAGATGATGACGATGACGATGAAGGTTGTGTTCCAGTAGGTACATTGCGAATAGATGCAGAGGATGCCGGCTGTCTTTGTAAGTTGGGCCTTGCCAACTTTGGCTCCGCGAACGCAGATTGAGCAGACTCTGGGCGCGGAGGGAGGTTCTTTGCTGCAGCTAGCCGAGCCTTCTTTTGAGCAGCAATGGTTTCTTTCAAAGTCATCCTCATTGAGGAAGAGCTATAAGACTGCCCACTGCGGGAAGCCGAAGTAGCTGTGGTGTGAGCAGCTGCGTTAGGGTTCCCAGCATCCTTTTCGAGGAGTGCTCTTGACTTGGTATCCAACTCGGAAATAATACTTTACATGTATCGTTAGAATTTACGTGATCATATATATGGTCGGGAAGGGCATGAAAACCTACCTTCTAGCCCTATCTGGCCATATACTTGCGAAGGTCCAGTAAGTTCCACGCATGTTTTCTCGAACTCCCGGATTAGCATCGGCCAAGCCCTTCTTGATACATTTTTCAATAATATCCACACCACCGCTATGCTCAATAGTATTCTTATATTTAGCATGCCGGTTCATGAGCGTTTTGAGCCATCTAGTAGCAAAAAGCCTCGGCTGAGTATTTTTGTCCTGGCATGCAGCCCACATATGCTGAAGGAGGCGAGTAGAGTAAGAGATGTTGCCAATGATGGTATCAACAGTTATATTCCCGCTTTGGGAGGTTATCTTTTTAACAGCACCGCACAGTTTGATAAGATTTTGAAGCAGAATCTCCACCATTGGTTCTATGGCCGGGCCGTTTACTCGAGCAATATCTTGAAGGAGAGAGCAGCCTGCAGCTGATAGAGTAGTACGGAGGGAATTGACTGCTTTGAGAATGCCATCGAGTAGCTGTTTTATGCCTGCCAAATAGTGAGCTTGGTAATCTTGAGGTGCATTTCCTTTGGTCAACCTCCGTAAGGTGTGGACACTCCTTTCACGGTGTAGCCAGTTGTGCTCAGTTTCTTTGCCCTCAAAATGGGGTATCATATCACGAAACATCTCGTCGATTTCCCTATTCGAATATATGGTAATAGGGTCAAGAGAAATGGGAACCTCATGCTCAATGCTGGCTGCGGATAAGGATTCAACACTAGGAGCGTGCGATAGTGCATCTTTTCTGGGCGGGTCGCCTCTAGGAGGCCTGGATGGAGCATAATGGGAGTCATCGTTTCGGCCTTGGATTGTGTGTTAGACAAGATAGATATCTAGGGAAGTGGTGGTATGTGGGTGAAAACGTACTACTTCCATCTTGATGATGATGCGAGCGTGTCGAAAGAACTGAGTTTGGCCGTGCTGGTTCTTCTCGACGGTGAGAGAAGCTGCTTCCTGGCCGGGCAGGCATGCCAGAGTGGGAGGAGGGGAGGTCTGCATCGGGTACAGAATTGATGCCAAGGGCCGCAAATATTGATAAAGCGATAGACCTCCTGACATTATGAGACTGAATCTGTTTCTTTAGGTCCGATATAGCTCGTGGAGGGGCGTTTCTAAGCACAGAATACCAGAGTTAGATAATGACGGGCAACTGACATGAAAACCGGCATTGTGTTGCTTACTGAAATAACTCGATCACGGCAGCCTTGGCCGTCTCTCTGACAGAGCTGTCTGCATCCTCAAGGCCAACCACGAGGCTAGGAACATGAGCACGGAAAAGAACCCCACGTTCCTTTGTCATCTGCATAGCATAAGAGTCAGCCGGTGTGTATAAAACCAACAAAAAGCCAAAAACTGCACGAGTAAACAATGGATAGCAGACAAGTGCACACCTTTACCAGCCACATCATACTAGTTTCTTTCGCCCTAGGGCTCTTGCCAACGAGGGCGACCTCTAGAACATGGTGCTCAACCTCCGTGGGAGCCGACTGCCAAAAGTCCACAAACGCCTGAGATGCGTGAGCCCGTACACGCTCCTTGTGATCGCCGAGTTTCTCAAGCAGCAGCGAGTACGTATGTCGTCCCTGGCTGGCGATCAGGCCATTCTGTTCTTGGAGATAGAGTCGCTTCAGCAGGTGACCAAGCGCGGAGAAACCACCAGCGGAGAGGGACGCATGCTGTGACGCAATAGCCAGGCGAATGGCATCGAATATATCCCCGGCAGCGGACGTGGGAACATTCTTCTGTTTGATTTCCGACTTAAGCTTGGTCAGCGATGCTATCTTTGCATCAACGGAGAGGGAGGTGTTGCGCAGGGCAGCTAATAGCTCCGTAGCTCGTTCATCCATTGTCAGAGTCGCACAGCCGCAAATGTCATTTGGGATAGTCGTTTGGCAGTGGTCGGCAGGTGTCAGGCTGTACGAGAAAAAAAGCTGAACTTCGGCTTCGGCAGCTGGGGAGTGGCGGGCGGGAGAGAGGGTTGTTGTTGTGGTTGTTGTTTGGTCGGCTGCGGGTCAACTTGCTTTTGTAGATAGGCCGAGTTACACAACAAAAGGGCGCGAGTGATGGACGCGGCGACGCTTGACACCGTTATATCGAGTCCTGTGAGACCGCAGCAGGCAGCGTGAGAGACAATCCGCGGCGCAGCGTGCGTCTTGACTTTCGTCTTTGGCGGCTTCTGCTATGTTGTCGTTGGCGATGTTGATGTTGCTTTTTCCCTCTTTCGGCCGTCCTTCGCGGTGTTGTGGCAGGCCACTGCTGACTCAGCACTCTCCTTTAGGCTGCAGCCGCCGAAGCGCCCTCGCCCGCAAAAGTTTTATTATCGGCCGGCTATCAAGCCCCCGACTTCACCGACAGCGCAGGACAGCGACGCCAGACACACCCGTGGCTGCAGGCGGGCAGAGAAGACGTGCATATACTGCGAGAGATCGTCTGGCACGCTCTGTGTCTCTGCCATGTTTGGGGGTTTTTTGGTTCTCAAATAGCCTTCCATGGCTTGACAGTCAGGCACAACCCGGAAGAGACTATATGTCATGTGTGTCCATGGGTCGGTGCAACCTAAAGGCCATCTAACTTCGTGTCTATACATGCATACACTCAATATATTCGTCTTCTGACTAGCCGTGGAAAAGAAAAGAAAGAGCAATTCTGCTCCCAGAGCTGATATATAGGCCGTGTCTGTGACATATATCGCTGTTTCTATGCGTCACCTTCACTCTGTGTTGTGCAGGTTGCGAGTTGCAACGATGTCCGAGACCTCTTCCGCTATCCCGACACCCACCTCCTCTTTGCTGCCCCCAGGGGTTGGCGGCGGAACAGACGACGAGAAGGAGGCTCGCAACAACGTCCCACAGTGGGGAAAAGAGGGATGCGGGTACCCGCCCTCTGCCTCTGCTGCGCCAGCAGTCCCGAAGCCAAAGCTGCGGCTTCATTTTGAGGATCTGGGCAACCAGGCGTCAAAGCTCTTTATCAAGTCTGTTCCGGACCCCTATGTGGTCATGCAGAATGCGATAGGAGAGATCGTCAAATATCTCTATACATCTCCGCCTGCCTCTGCTGCTCCTCGCCGGCCAATCCAGTTCAACCCTTCGCTGCCCCCAACCTCCTCTGTCTCCTTTATCATCCATGATTTCCAGGGAGTCGCATTTACCATCGGGGTGAGCTCGGACGACAACCAAAAGGAGATTCATATGTCGCTCTCCTATATCGCCCATGCTGGCTCTTACAAAGACACGGTTGCCGAGATAGCCGGGATCATTCAACACGAGCTTGTGCATTGCTATCAGCATACCAACCCACCTGGCAAATCAACTCCAAACCCACCCTCTGGTCTTATCGAGGGGATTGCAGACTTTGTTCGCCTGAAGTCCGGCCTTGGAGCAGCCCATTGGAAGCGCCCAACTTCTCTGGCCGACCTGCCCAAGAGATGGGATGCAGGTTATCAGAACACTGCCTTCTTCCTCGAGTGGATCGAGAATGTCAGGGTCGGAACTGGAGCCGTGGGATTGATAAATGACCGCCTCCTGAGACAGGGGTATCTTGGTACCAACGGCGAGGTCTTCTGGAACGGCCTTTTTGGTCACGAAATAGAGGAGCTGTGGGCTGGCTACGCTGAATATGTCGGAGGCCAGAAACCCAAGATCCAAGATTGTGGATGCGGTAACAACTGATGGCACACTACTTCTTCTCGTCTCGTTATGCGTTATTCTAAGACTACGAATGGGGTACTATCACTCAGCCTTGTACATAGGTAGCGTACTAAATTGCTAAGATAAGTGAAGGCAGTTCAGATCAAATTATTTACCACTCTAAGGAGTTATTATAAATGCCCACATGTAAGGAAAAGAAAACTCAGCAAGTTTACGGATAAAGGGCAAGTAGTTATCGCAGAATGTCTAAATATCAAGAAGTTGGTTGTCATTAAACCACTGGGAATCTTCGTGGGGGGATCGAGATTGCCCATTTTCCCTTCGGATGAGGGTTACAACGGTATAGTCCTCCTGGTGATGAAAGGTCGCACCCACCTATTGGAAACGTTGAAACGGAATAATATTTTGACAGGTAGTTAGCCGCCCCCGCTGGGTCCACTGCAGAAAAGTGACCTCGGTAACGAGATGACGGGACTAGTTCACTGACTAGTGGATGCAGGGTGACAAGCGGCTTAAGTGAACTAGTTAGTTAGCCGCCGCCCAAAAAGTATATTCTTTCACTTATCCGACTATTACTGGCTAAAGAAGCGCCAGTGACTTGTAGCTTCTACAGGGGATATATAACAATCAGATCTTGAATGTAAATACCACTCCGTCCTTCTGCAAGTACCTTTTTCTTCATACCTCCTCTACCAAGCCATGGATACTGCCAAATTTATCAGCGCTGGATTGTAGACTTGTTCGTGACTATGTCGTTACAGAAGATGATGGCACTGAGTGGAAGATCAAGAAGAAGCTCTCCGAGGGTTCAATCTTCTATCCAGCAGAGTATAACGAGTGTGGAAAGACAATAGCAGAGGGACAAGCAACCTACATCTGCGAACAGATTAAAGGGGAGTCAGCTGGAAAGGAGGCCATTTGCAAGATTCGAGTACAGTGAGTACGAGGACCCAATTTGAACAAGTTTAACATTTCACTAATATCCAGTAACTAGAGCACCGTCGGAATACCCAGCAAGCTTGAAGCCAGAGTCTCGAAAGAAGTTTGCTTCCACAGAACCTTCCCATTTTATAAAACAGGAGGTTGAAGCTCTTCGCCACTTTGACAAAGTAGGGTGTAGAGCGACTCCAAAACTCTTCTACATACAACAGTCGATTCAGCAACATGATTATGGCCCAGTCCCAGGCGGTTATATGATATTTATCATAACAGAGAAGGTGCCTGGTATACCTCTATCTCAATTTTGGACTTACGATTTAGCCAAACGTGAGAAAATTCGAGGTGCTTTTCGTGAATGCTTGATGTAAGTCTGCTGCACTTCGGTTGACGGGGGTCATCTCTAAAGATGGTATCAGATAGGGAGCTACTCAAATACCACGGTTATGCAGGTGATCCACATCTTGGAAACATCGTTTACGATGAGGAAAATAACAGATGGTAAGATTTGCATGTTTATTTCGATACAGCATTCTATTAATGCTGCTTCTTACCGAGTTACTGGCTGCTGACACTGATTTTGTAGCTGGATTGTAGACTATAAGCACATTTACGTTCTCGACGATAGAGAGCCCAAGGTGTTTGCGGACAGGGATTATCGATTCTGGGGGCTTGGATACACAATCTGCGAGAAAGAGATATGGTAACCGCTATTTCCTTCTATTTTGTTGCCCCCTCCATCTCTCTCTCGATTTGCCTCATCCTCCGGTAAAGCCTACCAACCCTGCAGTAATAACTACTTAACGCGGAATCCATTACTGTGTCTTTGATTTACCGGGGCAAGAAGTAGTGAAAATTTTAGAACAAATATAAAATTGACGCAAAAACGCCATATATATGGTACATGTTATTTCAAAAGGGAAATCATAGTAGTTAAACATGGATGAGGGAACGGGTAAAAAGGGAGAAAATAGTGTATCATGTCCAACCTCTGCGCGCCATGACTGCATAGATAGGCCTGTCTGTGTATGTATGTATAATATCGTCTTTTGCACTCTACCCAGGAAATCAAACAATGATCTCTCCTGGATCAATATGAGCTCGTTTCCAGGGTTCTGCGCCTTCTTCCTCCATTGAACTGGGAACTCTGGCATTGAGTGGACTGTAAAGATACCAGCTCTTCAATGCGGCAACAGCTGCCCTGACACGAGCTTCAGTTAAGCTTGATCCGGCTCCTTCGCCAAGTTTGTCCTTGCCGGAGAAGATACCCACTATGAACACTGGGTGTCTGCTGAGTCGGCCCGTCTCACTTATAACCTTGGCCACGGGAGCTTCGAAGCCTTCTCGTTTGCATAATTTGGAGAGGTCACGTGTGGGTTCAGTAAAGCCGAAGAGATCGGCAATTGGTAGTTGGCGGGACTTGAAGTGTTCCTCGAAGAAAGTCTTTGCAGCACGTCGCCCTCCGTGTAGGTATACAGCACCCATTAAGGCCCGGACGAAGTTTGCAGAGGCCCGAGTTGGTGTGACAGCGTCTCCGTAGGTGTTTGGATCGACGTCACGGCACTCAGAAAATTCGACATCATTAACAAATAAAGAGCCGAGCCCTCGTCTGAATTTCTCGCCGCGCAGAGGTTGACGAGATATTCCGGCAGGTATTTCTTCGCTCTCCTTATCTATTGTTTGCTGGTCTGCTATCCGGAATTGGAGATAAGCAGGGTCAACCTCGCTGCCCGGCTCCGCTGCGTGCTCAACGCCCCATTCATTGGCCATGACAGCCAATGCCTTTGGCCCTATGTATGCATACATCGCTGTCCAGAGCACCGACATAGGCAACCGTGGATATTGGGTAATGAGGTGTTCGGTAGTATAATAGGAGAGAAGGTCATTGCCTAGAACAGAGAAGGAATGATTGTTAAATTGGGTCGAGGTATCGGCGGAGGCATCAATTAGGGTGCGAGCCAGTGTCTGAAGCGGTAGGCGTTCTGGTAATGAGAGTCGGGCATGGAGGGAGGAGAGCTTTGGAGAAGCTATGAATTCTTCTGCAGATGCGAGCGGAGGGCTTCGAGTCCGAACGCCGTGTGAGATGGGAAGGTCATGGTCAGGAATTACGGGCGCGGCTGCAGAGGAAAGCCATCTTCCATTCCTCTGGTGCTGGAAGGGCCGTAGATATGAGCTGCGACAGGACCGTATTGGGGGCGATACAACGGCACCGCTCCAGCGTAGGAGCTGCAATCTTTTCATTTGGGCTTCCCGGTCCACGGGGTACGGCGAGGGCGTGGAGAGAGGTCACCGGATCAAACGAGCAGCTCAATTGATGACGTTAGAAGTGTCGTTGTTGGCCTAGGTATCCCGTCGTCCTCTCCTTGTCCTCTCTGGTGCTGGCAAAAAACAGATTTGCAGAAGAAAGTCGAACAATTTGATGGAGGTTGAATTTGTGAGCGAACGAGTTTCTTCGGCGCTAGTCCGCTTTAGGACTAGCGCGCCTCTTGCTCGTGCGAAACCTCCAACATCAACGACGAAGGCCAGCGAGAAGAGCGAAGAGAGGGACAAGCAGCAGCCGTCGACAGATACAGGACCGCATCTCGCCCGTTGTTTGACTGTATATCTCTGAAGAAAAAGATGGGTGGAGGTCCAAAGATCCGGTATGTACAGGCGACGTTTGGCTGGTTCAATTGGCGTTGGATGTGTCGCAGTGTGAACTGACGGCTATATATTATCACAGCTACCCGACTCACGTCTGGTCTCCCGCCGGTGGTTGGTACGCACAGCCGAGCAATTGGAAGTTCAATACGTTTGTTATTGGTAGCACCGCGCTCGGGCTTGCCGCATTACTCTTCAATTACAGCGCGCAGCATGAACACCGTGACAAGTTCCCCGAACCAGGCCGCTTCTTCCCCAGCCGATGGTATGTCTGCATATCCTACCTGCGAAAGGGGAATGAGACAGCAATCTAACAGCAAGTCTTAGGTGGAGCAAACAAATTATTGAGCATGAGCGAGCATTAGCTTCGAAAAGTGATTCGTGATTGTTGAAGGAGAACAATGGCACCCACGGGCCTGTACAGTTATTCATATTTACGGCGTTCTGTTTTCAAGTGGATAGAAGACAATTGATGTTCAATTCATTGATCCATTCCAAGCTTTTGTCTCTTGAGGGTTCCGTGTCTGTCGACAAGATGCTTAGTGTACTGACGGACTCGCTCGACATAGCTTGTCCCGTTCCAGAATTCCTCCCCTTGAGGCGAGAAGGAAAGGACTGGAACGCCTATTTGCTCGATTATATAGCTTGCTGCAACAGTGGCACATATCAATCCAGCTAGAATATTCCCCCTATCATCCCATGCAGCGCAGATTCCTTTCCAGTCTCCAGATTGATCCATAATCTCACGGGCAGCATCGATAGGTGTGCGGTTAGATCCTGCAAGGACCTGACAAAGGGCTCCTAGGAACGAGTTGCCGGCACCTGTGGGATCTACTGCCTTCGAGTCCAGGAATGCAGGCAACGCTAGCTGGTCGTCCTGAGAAAAGGCATAGCAGCCGTCCCGTCCTGCTCGAACAACTAGTACCCCCTTCCCATCTATACCTATACCTGAACGGACAATAGATCTGCATATCTCCTGGTCCCTGGGGTTATCGAAACCCCATGATTCATTGCTAAAGTAACTTCCCATCTCATGATCGTTCGGGCTCACCACATCTACGTGACGAATCACCTCGTAGAACCTTGGAAGTTCTTCCGGGCGGCAAGAGTCCGGGAAAGGCTCCCAGACGAATATTGGGCGGCGTAGAGTTACCTTGTACTTCTCACTGAGCTCATGGCGTCTTTTCAGTACCCCCTGTACTATATTATAGCACCTGTCTGCAGAGCAGGACATATGAAAGGTATTTGAAAGCACAAGCTCCTCAGTGAGTGTCTCGGGAACAATCTGTATCTTAGGAGTGAGATACTTGAATACTAACAACACCGCGTCAAAAACGATCCCGTTGGATATACGCTGGGCCACGGTAATATACCTCTCTTCTCATTAACTTCATAGCCATTCCACCCTTTCGTGGTTTGCCTGTTCATATCCTCCCGAAATACACAATGTGTCTCCCAGCTTGCAATCAGGCTTCTGACATGCTCGGGAAAATCGTAGCCCATATCCACGATCCAGCCAACAGAGCGGGAATGATCCTTGCCAGCTGCAATGCGAGCACCGATAGCAGCAAACGAGCCAGCCCCGCCCACAATATCCCGTACAGGGGGTGTTGGAGGCTGATATTCAATCTCGTCTAATCTTCTCCCACCGTTAGCATCAGCATCAAGAAGTGGGATTGGATGGTTTACTAGCCAATGATGAACATGGCGAGAGTACAGAAATCTATCTGCCTAAACCCGTCGGGCAGTGTCCCTGGATCTCGAGCAGCCATCTTCTCTGCCTGAATACAAATATGTCTAATCAATGCTGCTGCCTGTGTTTCTTCTTTGATTACGTTCGTCGATGTAGAGATGTAAGTAAAGGAGGTTTGGGCGTGGTATCATTAATTACAATAATATTGGTAATTAATTCTCCATTTAGCGCTAGCCCCATCGCTATCGCTGTATCAGCTTGTAAAACTAGGCATCGTAATAAACCTCCCAAGAGCTCCTTCGATGCTTCGTCTCCCTTCAACGTATCAGCAACCGCTCCTTTTCTACATCTACGTCTACGTCGACACCATCCAACTCGCCCTGCCCTCTAAAGCCTGTTCAACAGCTTGTCAATCGAAGGAGCGAGAGCTCCTCTTCTACAGGTTTACTGCGTCTGATTTTGAGAACAGGCGTTGAGCCGCCCTCTCCTTATCCCAGCGATGCAACATACAGCTGGCAAGATGGTCCCGAACAACCACATGAATAACCTGACAACACTTATCAAGCGGTATGTATAGAGTGGCTCTTGTTTAATGGGTCAGAGAGGATATAACTGATGTGTAATTGCTATTACAGGCTTGAAGCTGCGACCTCCCGGCTAGAGGACATGGCTGCCTCCCTCGATAGCCCAGGTCCTAGCCCTGCAGCCGGCGCCAGTATCCTAAGCTCCAACGTCTCGCCGGGTGCTGCTCCCCCCTTACCAGCTGCAGAGCCTTTACCGAAGTGCATTGAGGCATTTGACGCCATAATCTCGAATGAAGTGAAGGCATTCTTGGATATCAGCCAGCAGCTCGGTGATCTAGTTGTCCCTCAAGTAGGTCATCAGTTTATAGCTATAAGAGCGAGAGAAGCGATTGACCAACATAACTTACTGGTATAGTCGAAAGCTGTCCTTAAAGCCTTCGAAGCCGAGCGGAAATATCTTCTTGTCTCTACGAAGGCAAAGAAGCCAGAAGCACAACCCCCAGAGCTCTTTACAGACCTGCACAGAGCGTCTGACGAAATCAACAACATCCGTGAGAGTAATCGGCCCTCTCCGTTCTTCAACCATCTCAGTGCTGTGGCAGAAGGTGTAGTTGCGTTGGGCTGGTTCTTCGAAACTAGACCGGCTACTTTTGTCACGGACACCCTCGGCGGAGCACAATTCTACGGAAACCGAGTGCTCAACCAATATAAAGACAAGTGAGTGACCGGGGTCCTTCAGATGTTGAAGAAGACGGCTTTGCTGACTTCTAAAAGGGACAAGACACATGTCGAGTACATCCAAGCTTATTATCAAATCTACAAATCCCTTATCGACTATATTAAGGAATACTACCCTCGAGGAGTGACATGGAACGACAAGGATGGCATCGATGTGATGGATGCACTAAAACAGGTGTCATCAGGGTCTTCTTCCGTCGCTGCACCACCTGCTGCGGCCGCAAAGGAAGCAGGGGGCGCTCCTCCACCTCCACCACCTCCACCACCTCCAGGTCCTCCACCTGTAATCAAAGCAGCGGCACCTAGCAATGACATGTCTGCTGTTTTCGACCAGCTTAACCAGGGCTCAGCCGTTACAGCCGGTCTCCGAAAGGTGGATAAATCCGAACAAACACACAAAAACCCTAGCCTACGAGCACAGTCAATCGTTCCAGGCAGTCCTACTTCCCGAGGCAAATCGCCTGCCCCCAGCAAGAAGCCAAAACCAGAGAGCATGCGCGTCAAGAAACCTTCTCGGAAACAACTAGAAGGCAACAAATGGTTCATTGAGCACTTTGACAGCCCAGCTGATATTGTTGAAATCTCCGCCTCTCTCACCCAATCCATTCTGATCTCCAGATGCAACAAGACCATCATCAAGGTTAACGGCAAGGCTAACGCGATATCCCTTGACAACTGCGTCGGCGTCTCTATCATCGTCGATTCACTCGTCAGCAGCCTGGAGGCAATTAAGTGCTCCAAGTTTGCACTGCAGATTGATGGCAACGTTCCCGCCGTGATGTTTGATCAGATTGATGGAGGCCAAGTTTATCTCAATGCCGGAAGCATGGATGCCGAGATTCTCACCAGCAAGTGCACAGCTATCAACATCGTTCTGCCACCCCAGGAGGACGTTGAAGATTCCGATGCAAAGGAGTGTCCCATTCCAGAGCAAATTCGTACCACTATCAAGGATGGGGCTATTTTCAGCGAGATTGTGGACCATGTAGGATAGACATGGGCAAGCTATGATAGAGCGAGTTCTGACGAATTCAGGTTCGCTGTTCGTTGAATTGCACATATCTTTTTAGCTGTCTTGGTAGTTGCGCAATATATACCTTTACTTAGTCAAGTCACGGCCCTAGATAAAATACTGTAGTTTATTTCAATTTGAGCTATCTGAATTCACCGCTGGCAAACTTTGCAGACTTTATGGATGTGCTTATGGTAGGAAGAAACAATGCTCTATATGGTATCCAAAATCAATAGCAGCCTGATTCTTTGCGAAAGGGAGAGGGGAGTATGTATTTAAGCTCGCTCGAGAGATTACCATTCCGATGGCAGGGTAAAGAGCCCATTTACTGAAGGAATAGCAATTTGAACCTGGGAATGATAGCTTAGAAGTAACTACGTACATGGCAAGCTAGCTGTTTTTCCCTGATATTAAGAGGGGATTGGGTATCTTTAAATGATTAAAATAGTTCATATGATAGAATGGGTATAAGATGGAGTGGATTGATGGCAGATAAGGAAATAGGAAAATTTGGCTGAAACTGGCACACTGAATTATGGAGACGGAGGAGATGACTCGTTCAGATCCCGTAGTTTGAGAGATAGCAGACTTTCGGCATTGGATGATCTGCTGGAAGGTCTAGAGTTTGATAGGGGCGGGAGCTGGAGATTTTGTATGGGTGGTAAAGGTATGGACTGTTCTTGTTGCTGTTGCTGTTGCTGGACGTCCTGGGCTGGGCGGGGAGTGAAGGATGTGAAGGGAGCCGTTTTTGATCGAGGAGAGGTTGAAGGAGCATCTGATATGCCGTCAAAAGTATCTAGCATGCCTGCGGTAGGCCGCATATGCCATGCCGTGGGAGACATGTATAGTGGGCTTGGGAATGGATTCCCCTGGTCCTTTGCACGCCCATGGTCAACTCGCAGGTTCAGAGGGTCAGACATCTGGGCGTGCAGGGATGGGGGACGCAGTTGAAATGCAGAAGTAGGCTGGGGAGATTGGGAAGTAAATGACGAGGAGGAAGTGGGAATGATCTGCTCCCTATCTCGGTTGCCTAGTTTGATACCAGAGCTACGACGGCGGTGCTGTTGGGCCTTCTCGGCAGCGAATCTGGCTGATTCCTTGGATAATTTGTACGTGCTGAATCGTGGCTCGGGGTACTGTAATTCGTTACGTAGTTTCTCCTTGCCATCTGGCACGCGGTTTGCGAAGACAGCACGGATGCCGGAGTATAGGTAGAAACGGCCCCGGGAGGGACAGCAGATGTTGATGTGTATCAGGTAGCGAAGGACGGGTTTATCCTGGGGATCAGGGGTGGCGGTGCTAGCCTGTGGTATGTCCACGGCTGGACCAGTGGAATAGCTGCGTTGTCTGATGAAGGTTTTGGTTCCTGGTTCCATGCCCTCTAGGTCATATGGCACGAGGAATAGCTTGACGGCCGTCTTGTTTGGGTTCTTGATGATGATCTGTAGCTGTCCCTGCTGTGGGATGCGATAGCAGCCTCCTGGCGGCGACTTTGGGGATTGTGAGCGGCGAGATCGCTTTTCTCTGGCTCTGAGCTCACCGCGTGGCGAGAGGGATATGTCTGAAGAAGGGATCTCTTCAGGAGGGTGACAGGGACACTTTCGAGGAGCAACCTGCTTCTTTGGCTTTTTGGTAGCAGGTCTGCTTTCAGCCGGGAGGGAGTTTTCAAGGTCGATAAAGCCAACGTATGGACTTGGACTGTCGTCTGCTATGTTCTTACCGCTGGCCGAGCCTGAGTAGCTGTAGAAGACTGCTGGGAAGGGGACCATAACGTGTGGTGGACACCTCAGGTTCGACTTGCAATTGCCCTTTCCAAGGACGCCTATTTCGGCGGTGAAATCCAGTGGTTTAGATGGGTTGGTCGACATCCTGCCTCTGAGGATAGACTCTTCAAACGATCCAACCATGGAAGCATGGTGTAAGGGAGATGCCTCTGCAGACTGAGAGGGCCGTCTGGGACGAAGAAAATCATGTCCTGCTCCCTGGGGAGACGAGGCCATCTGCAAGCTCCGCATGGAAGTGATAGATCTCCGGGGCTGGTGAGCCTGGTAGTAAGAGGAAGAAGAAGAAGAAGAAGAAGGAAAATTCCGAAACGTCTCTGGCGGCAGAGTCCGTCGTCTGTTGGCCTTTTCCGAGCTGGTTGAACATATGTCCATATGTTCATCCTTGACGGAGAAGTCTAGGTCCGGGTTGTTTGCCTGGATGACCAGCGGGCTTGTGGGAGCCTTGAGGACGTAACTTGAGGGGACAGAGCCGAGAGAAGGGGCTCTGGATCTCCCCGTGAGAGAGGCCAGGGCCTGGCGGTGGCCGAAGTTGAGACTGGCAAAGGGGTCCAGCGGTGCAGGAGGGATCTCGATGTTCGAGTCTACCCATCCTGGCTCCTGGTAAGAAGAAGAGGAAGAAGCAACGCAAGAAGACGGCTCAGCCAGCTGCTCGATTCCAAGCAGTTTGGGAGATCCTTCGCGGAAATCTCCCGAATGAAGGGCCGACCTGGGCCGCTCAATGCTGACGGGAGAGCCACAGGACCTGTAGCTGGGGGCCTCCTGGTCCGGGGACCGTTCAAGCTCTACGGACGGCAGCAAAGGCGAGCCATTCCGCTTCTTTTCCTCCAGCCTCTCGAGCGGAGAGTCACCATGCGTAGCAAAGTATTCTTCGAGCTGTTTTAGTAGTGTGTTAGCAATAAGTAGGAAAATACGGGTGATATCAAAACGGTAGTCAAGGGGGAGGGGGGATGTATGAAAACTCCAGAACATCACCCAAACGCTCCGAGGCTGCTATGCATCTTCTAGCCAGAATGGAAGCAACAGCAAGGGGAACAGAGGGCTCCGGCAGGGAAAGACTACTTACAGCACGGTTGGGGATCCAGGTAGGGCTCTGGCCGTCCTTGATTCTGCGGATGAGCTCCTCACGGCTACTGGTCGGGGGGCCATGACAGGCGGACTCCATGTTCTGGTCAGCAGAGGACTGCTCTAGCATCATCTCGTCTTCCTCGTCTGCCAGCTCCGGCTGTTCATGGTCTTGCTGGTGCTGGAGATGCTGCTGCCGCTGCTGCTGCTGCGGAGTTGTAGGACGGCGTAGAGGCAGGGCAGGAGACCAGCAGCTATACTCCCGGCCCTGGGCCTCTGGATCCTGAAATATCGGCATGTTGGGCTCCCAAAAAAACAAATAAAACGAGGTTTTTCAACCAGACATTGTACAGACACAGCACCCAGCAAGCAGTCAGGCCGTAGTAATGGGGGCAGAGAGACGTGGCAGGGCAGAGAGCTCTCTCTTCCTGCGGCCTTACGGAGCCGGTGGAGAGACAGACCGACAGAGCACAGTGACTGCACGGAGGAGATATTCAAGGGCGCAATGAAAGACCAGCTAGCTAGCAGAGGGAACAATAATAATAATAATAATATCTCGAGCAGCGGTGGAAGCGTGGAAAGGGGGCTTTTTTTTTTACATGCCAGCCGCCAGCGTCATGTTTCAGGGACGGCTTTCTTCTGTCTCTTCTCTCTGCTGGCTGGCTATAAGACGGGCGATATTGGACTTTTATATCGCTCTCACGGGGCAGCAAATCCTTTTCCCTCATGCCTCCAGGCCTGCTCCGTCTCTTTTTCTCCCCATGCAAGAGTCACCTGCTTGCTCAGGCGATGACGAAGAAACGATGGCTGGCTCACTAAGAGCCAGCTATGGAGCGAGCGAAAGGGCTTGTACGGGCGTTAAGTTACCGCTAGGAAGAATCCCTGCAGAAGAAAAGTTGCTGCAGTTAAGATTTTCATGCTAATCGATACTATTTCTTCGCCAGCGAGTCTAACTACGGAGGACACGCCAGACACATCTTCGACAAACGGCTCGGAGGACCGACAAGACCGACGATGGCGCCCAAGAGGAAGATGGACGACGGCGAGGGCGAGGCACCGCAGCAGAAGCGGGCGAAGAAGGGCTTCTCTGTCGGCCCAGCAAACCTGCCGGACGGGACCTACAGGCGCAAAGGTGAGAGCCGGAAACAGCCCCCTTAACCCCCCTCCCTCGGCCAGCGTAATGATGTGATTGATACGGGCTACGGTGCTAATACGCAGATTGCTCGGGGCGATAGTCATAAAGATTAAGGCAGATCTCATTCACAAGGCCAAGCTGAAGAAGTCGTACGAAAAGATCAAGGCACGCGAGCTCGCAGCGGCGCCGGTCAAGTCTGTCTACGAGACCCAGGACGACGCCAACGAGGACAGCCATGCTGAGGCTGCTGCGGCAAAGCAGGACAGTTCAAAACCTGCAGACAGGCCGGCTGGGCTGGAGCTGCACCCGGACAGGCAGGCCATGGTGGACTCTCACAGCGAGCAGGACCGGTTGCGAGGTGAAGGGGCCAGGGCCAGGGCACGACGGAGAGACGAAAAGCAGCAGGAAACGGACGAAGATGGCCGGCCCGGTGGGAGTGGCAGTGGTAGGAGGCAACGTCGGGCCAAACCGTATCCCTTTGCGAGGGAGGAGAATGCTGCACAGAAGCGGATCGCGGAGGCAAAGGCACGAGCTGAGCTGTGGCGGATGAAGCAGAAGGAGAGGGCTGATATGGCCCGGGCAAAGCGGCCGGACCAGTTTGGCAAGAGACGGCTGGGCCGCGAGAGCAAGGTGCTGCTGGACAAGGTCAAGCGGCTCGTAGCAGCAGACTGATCTTGCTACGGCATCTTCCACAGGCATGATGAACTCATGGTGCCGGCTCCCCTTTTGCCCTGCCCAGATACACTTAGACTTCCTCGCGATAACACACAACTCTCTTCTTGCACACAGTTTAATCCAGGCTTCGCTCCTCGGCAACTATCCAGAAAACTATAACCACCCAGCCAGCCTGTTCGAGATCTTCGGCCCCATTCAGTCCCAGCCATCTTCAATCAGCCATCCCTGGCCTCTTTTTCAGGTTACTTATAAATAACCATTAATATACTTATCAAAGAAAAGGACGACCCAGCATATGACGTCGACTGACGGAATCAACTCTCCGGAAATTTTACCCTGGGCGACGCTCCACCCGCTGTATGTATCGTGTATTCGCTTGTCACTGGTACCGGCTGCATTGAAAAGGAATGTTAGCCCGGGGGTTCAGCTCGCGGCCAGTCAGGATGTGCTTTCAAAAGTACCTGCGTCTACTCCGTATCGGTGCCATGATTGCCCTGATAGTCAGTGGGGGAGTCAGGTTGGGATCCCACTCATGCACTCCCCAACAGATAGATACACAAGAGCCCGATTCCTCCTCCATTAACTAGCCAGCTAGCTAATTTTTTAGTTACTTTGCCCGCTCGCTGGTGATGACTTTGACGGGATATGCAAGGTGAGAAAAGACGGCCAAGCAGCCATGGACGCCACATTCTGCACTTTTGATGTTATTTTTTTTTTTTTTACCTTCGCTATTTCTTCGGCCGGTTTGGCTGCTTGATCACAGCATCATACATTACATGGCACGAATAACTACCCCGGTCATGCAGTCGATCCTGAAATGAGCTCTTCATGCGCTGTTCCTTCTTTTCGTCGTCTTTTTTCTTTCGTAAACTCATGTGGTGATTTGGTTCCTTGTACGGAGAAGCTGTTTTGAAATCAGGTCATATTTCTCGTGAGATGGCTGGTAATACAATAAATAAAACATCTAACTCATCAGTAGTACTCGTTCATGTCAAGTCGTAAGAGAAGATGCTCAAAGATGCTGTTCAGATCTATATCGGCCGACGCATCCATGTCGTCATCGTGATCAATCATATTCTTGACACCGCCTGCCTCCAAGCTACGTAAAAAGCGGATGAAGCCGCCTACTTGCTTTTTGAACCGCGAGTACAACTCCCGAATAGACCGGTTGTAGTACGCCGTTGTCTTGGACGAGGGCATCAGGCCCGCTGCCGTCGCGATGTCCAGTCGCTCCTGATACGCCTTGACGTGGAAGGAGTACGCCAGGATGGACCGGAGAACGTCTTCAAGCATGTTCCGCGCCTTAAGCTGGCTCTTATTCAGAAACAGGGCCAGAATAATTCGGTCGAGAACCCTTTCGTGATATTCTCGCAGCCGCCGGAGTCCCTTTGCATGTGTGATGGTGCCTTCCACGTCTCCCTCGTCAATGCACCTTTCGATCTTCGAGAGCCTCTTGTCAAACTGTTGCCATGGATGGTTTATTCCGACCTGGAAGCTGTAGTCGCTCACCACTTGGACAAAGTGGAATGCCTCCACGCGGAATCTCTGCTCCAGTGTTTCTACGCTTGATGTCTGTTGGCCTGGAGGGCTGCGAACCAGGTCCCTCACAACAGAGAGCATCCTTATCAGCCTAAGAAGCTGCTTGAATATTATGTCATATTTCTCAAGGCTCAGAGGGGTTATTACTTCCTCCAGCGGTGAAGGTGGGGTATAATGTATTCGAAGGAAATCAAGGGCCTCAAGCGAATGTGGGTTCTTGCACCTTTCCAGTTCTTCCCCAGTCAGATCACGAATGGAAAAGCTCAGTCCGCCTGGTAACTCTCTAGAACTAGGGCTGCCTGAGTGCTGGTGCTCTCCATTAGAAATACCTTCATAGCACTCGGATAGTAGCCCCGTCAGGACCAGACGAAGCTCAGAACTTGCCGGAGGCCAGGAATTTCGGTTCCCAAGTCGTAGACCTGTGGATGAACCACCCCTTGCAACGCCAGACTTTCGCTCACCGCTATGCATGTTCGGATCGAAAAGGGCTAGGGAAATACGGAGCAAAAATTCGGCATTCCCAAGGAGTTGAAAGCGTTCCTGCACCTGCAGGTGATCTCTAACTTTGTGAACTTTGAATAGCAAATGCAGACATGAAAAGTTCACAAGACGGCTTTGTGCCAAGATAACTGGTGCGAAGGAAAGGGACGGCGCTGACTCGAGGGGCGGGCCGAACGTATGCTCTGTGATAAGGCTCTTCTCGATATTGACACATGGCCCTTTGTTTACAAGCTCGTAGAGTCTGCTAGACCTCACTTGGCAGTCACTCATACTCTCACTCTGGGACTCAGGCCAGTCCTCAGAGCCCGGTATTGTGTATATATCATCAATGGTGATATTTATTTCCTGCGGGTAGTCAAATGTGTATTCCTTTGGTGTCGCGGACCCTTCACCGGCTTTCCCGATGGCACTGTTGTATTTCAAAATCTCATTTCGTAGACAAGTCTCGTAGCACTTTGCTTTAAGCTGAATATTGTTGATATCTTCCCATGTTAACCCCCACTCTAGCGTCAAGGAAGATGTGTTTTCCTTCTGGTGCACTTCGGCCAGCGGATGGCCCTTGTGGGAGGACCTTAGCAGATTCAGGCCCAACCCAGTCTCGTAAATAACATCTGCATCTTCGCGGGGGATGAAGCTCGGCATTGACTCTGGGTTAAATATCGTCTCTTCAGTGGTATACTCATCAATGTACCCGGGATCAAACACTTGAGATGCATTCAACTGGCCGCCAGCTGGACGAAGGCCAATCCACTGAGCTGCACGATACAGCCATAAACTGGAAGTAGCACCCATGATCTCATGGAAAATATCTGCAAGCCACAAATGTTGATGCGAGTAGTGATCACACTTTGCAAAAACCGTCGAAACAACCTGTACATCAGCCGTAAGCCTAGTCGCATTTTGGACAATATCCACTAGGCATTTAACAAGACAGCTAATCCGTCTAAAGTACATATTAGTCTGAAGCAAGGACGGGTTTGTCTTTGATTTTGCTGAAAGCTGGTCCTCGATACTGTACAACAGTATGAAAACCACCCGAGCGAGACTGGCCAGGGAAGGCGGCGATCCTGACTGAGTTGGCACACTAGCAACAAACTGACGAAGCTTTCGCATCCACATTCCACATTCCAGGATTCCTTCAGTCAAGCCGTCGAGTGCAGGTAAACTAATGCCCGAGACACGGACGTCTCTCAGGTGCTTTTCAAATTTGCGAGACTGTTCGTTATAGCGGAAAAACACAGAATTCCAGCCAAGACCCAATTTGAAAAGCGAGGAGATGAAAGCATCAGTCTTTGCAACTCGTCCTGAATCTTCAAGACCGGTATTTGTGGCTTGATGTATCAAAGCTGCGTCAAATCCACGAGGACCAGCCTCACTCAGACATGTTGGGCCTGACCGTTTTTTCCAGGTATCCGGAAATATATCCCAGGATAGTAATTCGTAGCCTGTGTCAGGTAACGCTGGAATATTGTCGAGAGACCATATATCCTCACCGGAGATATCATCCATAGGTTCTTCTTGGCTATCATGCTGCGCAGAGCTAGATGAAGAACCTGCTACGCTTGGCGGGCCCGGCTCTTCCGTTTTCTCATCTCCAAATATATTCAATGAGTGTACTTTGTCACTTTCATGTTTGAATAAGTGTATGGGACTCTCAAACAGCCCCGCCGTAAGGTCTTGATACGTATCAGCCACTGATTATCCGTAAGCCTGAACGAAAATTTAGACTCATACCTGGTAAAGCATCATCCCAGGGGTAGTTTTCCAAAGGCTTAATGGGATCAATCGTGAAGAAAACAGGCTCCTGGAGAACATCCAGTTCAAACGGGTCCTCTGGAGATTCAAACTCCATGGCTGGGTATATGACACGCGAGCCTGAGAGACTGATATACCCTGAGTAGACCAGTGTCAACGCCAAATATCATGGTCTCAGCCGTCAATCTATCAAACTGTCCTTCTATCGTCCAGGTATTGATAGTTATATGCGTCGCATTTCTTCTCTTTCTTTTGCTCCTTTTTTGTCTGTTGTCAATGATTTCCCTTTTCAGCGTTCGAGATTCGGATTATGTAAGCTCATCGCGTCTTCACGTGATCAATGGAAATAACGCTAGTCCATATAAAGCAGGGATCGGCATGACTTCCAAAGGTTCCCCAAAGAAGCAAAGCAAGAGCTGCAACAAAGACGACCAGGAACAGCTTCACCAAGCAGAACAAGAGAGGCATACGGGGAGTTTGAAGGACCAAGATACCTTATACACAGGCGGACACTGTTCTACACAGCTACCGCCGGCCAAGTACGAGCTGTATAATATCAAAATGCCTCCACGCAAGAAACAGAAGACCGCGGCAACCCCGTCGCAAGAACCACCACAGCCCACGCCTACAGTCCGCGAGATAGATTACGACGCCATAGTGGCAGACCCATGGACAGACGAACAAGAGACATCACTGCTAAAAGGAATAATACGCTGGAAGCCCGTGGGTTCGTTCGCCTCCGCTCTGCAAGTAGCTAGCCCCAGGAGCTAACTATGGCTGGATGATTAGGGATGCACAAGCACTTCCGCATGCTTGCTATATCGGATTATATGAAGAGCCAAGGATATGCGACGCCGAATGACCAGCATACGCGAATACCAGGAATATGGAAGAAGCTAGGGACTCTGTATAATCTATCAGCGCTGGATGATAGGGTGTGTGATGAACTATATCCGGCGACCCGTTGTTTGGAGCTATGCTAAACTATGGATATAGGAAGAGCCAATATCTACGGAAGAATCTGAGGATGCGGAACAACCCCAAGAGCTTTACTGCCCGTTTAATTTACCCGACGATGAGTTCGGAGACATGATGTGGGATCGAAGATTAAATCCAGAGGGCTCTGTTTCTCCGTCCGTTAGCGGGAGGGCCACTTCTAGACGACCTAGCACCATTGCAGATACAGACGGTAAGCTATTAATCATATATTATCTATGTATTATACATTGAACCCCCTACTGACTTTGTGGGATATCTAGAACCCCGTTCATCCCCTGCACCATCCCGAGGTAGCCGACGAGGAGGTCGGGCGAAGCGTCAACCTAGGGGAGGCACACGCTCTTCACGGCTCCAGGTCGAGGTAGAGTCTAACAGAGATGCTGCCAGCGAGAAAGGTAGTGCCAATGAGGAGGACGGGGAGGAGGAGGACACTGAGGCAGGCAGGGACGGTAGTGAGGATGAAGGTGATGGAGACTCGAAGGTAGCGGAATCTCCTGCCCCAAGAGCTACGAGGATGCAGTCTACGCGCGGAAAGCCGAAGAAAGGGAGACCCGCGTCAAAACGAGGAGGTAGACGGCGATGATAACGTACTTTTTATGAGTTAATGATACTTGTATAACAGTAGAATACCACCGATTGCTTCATAATTGAACATGTATCTGAATACGCCCCAGGATTTTCCGAAAATTCATCCGTATATCATTTGTACACATATAAAAACATAGCAACAGGTACAAGGTACAAAAACATCAATGAGATAAACAGATAAGAAATGCAGCGGGGGGTAAACAATATCCAATTCAATGGGGAATGCAGAACGATTCTACTCCGTCTAATTAACTCTTCTTTTGGGACTAACAAGATCCGCGCTGGATTAATGCATTAGGTAGATGTCCGTAGTGTTAGGTCACAGACCACACTTATATGTTCTTGATGATGGCGTCGGCATATTCGTGGGTCTTGGCCTTGCCTCCAAGATCACCGGTAAGTGCCTAGTAGTTTAAGTCCCAGTTAGTCTAGAATTCCAAGGCTCAAGGATGGAGATTCGACATAGCATACCTTTCCTTCAGAGAGGGTCTTGAAGATAGCAGCCTCAATCTTGTTTGCATCGTTGGTCAATCCCATGTGGCGCAACATCATCATACTGCTGAGCAGGAGAGCAGTTGGGTTAGCCAATCCCTTGCCGGCAATGTCGGGGGCGGAACCGTGAACGGCCTCGAAGATAGAGCACTCGTCCCCAATGTTTCCAGATGGGGTCAATCCGAGGCCACCGATCAGGCCGGCGCACATATCGGACAGAATGTCTCCGTACAAGTTGGGCATGACGAGGACCTTGTCGTTGTATGGAGCGGGATCAGTGACGACTCTCAGACAGGTGTTGTCGAGAAGCTCAGCGTCGAAGTCAATGCCAGGGAAGTCCTTAGCAACATCCTTGGCGGTGTTGAGGAAGAGACCATCGGACATCTTCATAATAGTGGCCTTGTGGACGACGCGGACCTTCTTCCTCCCAATCTCCTGGGCATGCTGGAAAGCAAATCGGAGGACACGCTCAGACGCCTCGCGGGTGATGAGCTTGATGCTCTGCACAACTCCGTCAACGACAACATGCTCAATTCCAGAGTATTCTCCCTCAGTGTTCTCTCGGATCAGGACAATGTCAACATCGTCGTATGGAGTCTTGTAGCCGGCAATAGATCGGCAAGGGCGGAGGTTAGCAAAAAGGTTGAAAGTTCGTCGGAGGGTCAGGTTAAGAGAGACATGTCCCTTGCCAATGGGGGTCTGGTCGAGCCGTCAGTTTTATGCATGTCCATTTTGGTCCACAGGAAGTTCCCGGAGCTTACAGCAAGAGGGCCCTTCAAGGCAACAAAGTTCTTCTTGACACTGGCGATAGCATCGTCTGGGATAGCAGTCTTTCCGTTCTTCAAGATGGGAGTAACATCAACCGGTTCCCACTTGATTGGTACCTGTGATCAAAACCGGTATTTAGTAAAGCTGTGGCCCAGGACATGCAAAGGATCCGGGGGAGCTATACATTAGCTGCGCTGAAGATCTGCTTGACGGACTCTGAGATTTCTGGTCCGATACCGTCACCCTCAATCAGAGTAACAGTATATTTGCCCTAATTGTGCACCCGTCAGTATTCCGTCCTCGCCGTACAAAAACCCGAGTGCCGTGCAGGATGGACACCTACGTCTGGGCCCTTCTGGCCGTTGAATTTGGCAATCTTGTCCGCGGCCTGGACGGAGTAGCATCGAGACTGTCCAGCGAAGCACCGTTAGTCCAAATTATCCCCGTTGCGCAGCTATCAATCTCTTCCGTCAAGAGCACCTACAGCATAGAATGGAGAGGGGCGGAAAGTCGAGAGCGCCGGTCCCCGCAGGGACGATCGCATGGGGAGAGAGAAGAGACGACCTGAAGCCATGATGCTAGACCTCCTGGGCACAGCAAACAAAGGTATCTCGATAGAAACTCAGCAATTGGGCAGGGCAGAGAAGAAGAGAAAAAGAGAAGACGGCGAAGTTTGGTGTTTGAGAAAGAGACGGAAGATGTAATGCCGCGAAAAAAAAAAAGTGTTACATCGGAAGCTTGGATCATGTTTGTCTTGTTTGTTTCCAAGCGCCGCCTTTCTCGAAACCTCAACCTTAAACGGCTCGACATCGAGACATCAACAACTACACCAGCAGTAGCAGCAGCAGACCAGCAGGCCAGAGGACATGCGATGAATTGCAGCTGGAGACGGAGGCGTGTTTAGGGAAACAGCGCATGAAGATACAGACGCCGAGATGGCCGATGTTCAGCCCCGGGATGCGGCGCAGTTCTACAACCTGCCGGATCTCTACCCGGAGGAGTGGCCCGCACAGCTAGACTCCGACAGCGATGGCGAGGGTGAAGGCCCCTCGAAGAGCGATGACTATCGCCGCCGGTCCCAGATACGATACTCCGGCCTGATTGCAGGGAAACGAGACCAGGAAAGGTTCAAAGGCGGCGATGGCACAGCGCTGAAGGACGAGCCTGATCCCCTCGGAGGGCCAGATACGATTCTAAGAACATTAAGGATGCGCGGGCTCCCCGTCGACGACGAGAGAGTGCGGAAGCAGTTCTTGCTCTCTTCCAAGAACTTTTCAGCGTCTGATTTCCTCTCTGAAACGCAGGAGTCAGCCTCGACTCAGTCACTTCTTCAGGGGTTGGACTACCTGTCAAGGTCAATTGATGAGAAGTCTGCCTCGCTGAAGATGCTGGTCGAATCAAACTTTGAGAGATTCGTGCGAGTCAAGGCAACACTAGATAACGTCTATACGGAAATGAAGAATAGTGGTGAGAGCAATTCGCGACTGCATAGGTCTCCATCTGGCGAGCACCGCAGGTCAGGCTCCCAATTAGGTGGTTCAGCTACCACAGGCTTATGGCGATCGAAGAGCAAGCCTGCCCTTCGGCCAGATACACCAAGCTCTGGAAGTCTGACAAATGTCTCTGGCATCAGTACTCCGTTGGCAGAAGCATCTGAACAAGCACGGGAACTATGGAGTGAAGCTTTGAACGGTCAGCAGCGCGAGGAAGGTCTCAAATCTATTTTAGATGCAGTCGAAAAGCAGCGTGAGATGTATGAAATCGGAGGCCATTTATCAAAATCCATCCAGGAGCGTGATTACCAGACGATCTTCGATCAATATAACAGCGCTAGGAGATTTGCAAACGAGGCGAAGGCTGTTGCAGAACGGGCTGCATCGACTAAACAGCCGCTTAGAGATGAACAGGTCTATACCATTCTGGTCACTGGAAGAATGTGGATGGACGTCGAAAAGCAAATCCAAGCATTCAAACGCGATTTATGGAAACGACTTAGCAATGCACAATCTACCTCACCCGTTGGCGCGGGCGGTGTGCAAGCTGAGGAGCATATGGAACTTATAGCCGCTCTCCTTGAACTTGGAGTAGAAGATAACCCGGTATGGGTCTGGCTCCTTAGCCGCTATGATTACTTGAAGAACAAGATTACTGCCTTCTGCCAAAGGTCAAGATTTGAGATTGAGACTCTAAGGCGACGGCTTGCCGCCGGGAAGAAGCCTGATCCACAACTTGTCGCTCCCTACCTGCGGAATTCTCTAAGCGAGGGATCTAGACCCAGCAGACATCACCTTGACTCAGAATCAGTAATTGAACTCTGGGAATGTATACACACCTTCTTAAAGAAACTACTTTCCGTCCAAGGCGGCATTCTTGGAGATGTACTTGGGTTCTGGGATTCCACGCAGTCTTTTCTTGATGGAAGCAAACAGAGATTGTTACCCGCTGGATTTGACGGTGAGAGCCGGAAACATCACCGCCTGTCCACCAACGGAGTCAACGATCTCAAAGATGGCATCATCGAGCTTATGGGTCTGATCCGCGACAATGTTGTCACCATTTTTGCCGAACCTCCTGAAGACCTGGCCTCTCTCATCCCCTCTGCTCTGCCAACAAGTCCAACTGTCCCCTTTACTGGGCTTACACCCGAATCTCGTTTGATGGTTGATCCCCAGAATATTCCTCCGCTACCAGAGAAAACAGGGCAGCCGTGGGATGATTTCGCATTCTGGCCGCCCTACTCAAACTCCCTGAGTGGAGTACACTACCTCGGTGAATTCTTAATTTTAATCGGCACTGCTGCAAGCGAGATGGCTTCTCTAAGCCCCATATCAGGCCACAGCGGCTCCTATGATAGACTGAAACTCCTGGTGAGCGGAACCCGTGAAAGATGCGCTCGTGCTGCTTGTGCCGCGTGGAATAGTGATGCCGAACTCTGCAAATACCTTGAAGATTGGACGCGGCACCAAACAATTAAGAGTTTGAGTAAAATGCCGAGTTATTTTATGACCTTTGAATCTTCAATTCTTTCTGGGATGCAAAAAATACTATATATTTCTGAATCGATGAGAAAACCTGGTGCGGTAGAAGTTATTACACCTCCTCCGGCAAAACTTCTCCAATTGGTGAGAACGCAGTTCGTGACTAGCGTGTACAAAGCCTTGAGTGGCCTAGTTGAAAACGCTGAGCACCCAGTGAACGCTGACGTCGACGTTGAATGGGTACTTCCTAGCCCTGAGGGTGCAGCAACAGGCCCAGATACCCATTCTTCCGTCTTTGCAAGTGGAGGAGTTGACTCAAACAACAGGGTTAGTTTTTCCAATACACCTACGATATTTCTTCTCATTCCCAGATACTTACACTCATTGTTTAGAACGTCCGTATATTATTGACTCTGTCCAATCTCAAATCTCTCCGTGCTGAGCACGTACCACAACTCATCACGACATTTGAGTCTTCATTCGCTGTGAAACTGACGGACGAATCGAAAACCATTCAAGATGTACTGGGCCAGATTGATACCCGTTTGTTCCAGTCATATCTCAAACCGATAGTTGAAACCCTGAAACATACTATCCTTGAGGGAATCGCATCCCCTGACTGGGTTCCAGCAAACAGTCGCCCAGATCAAATCCGACCATACGTATATTCAACGATGCTCTCACTTGTAATGGTTCACAATGAGGTCTCTACCACCCTTCCAATGAGGGTTCCAACTCCCCAGTCTTCCTCCTCATCTAATCTGACCAATAAAATTCTGGCTGAACTTCTCACTCAGGTCTCCAGTGCTCTGCTCGAGGCATTCATGAGACGGTCCCAGTATACTCTGCCTGCGCTCATGCAAGCTACCTTGGACACGGAGTTTATCGCCCAAACACTATCTCAATACTCAACCGATGCTGCATCCAAGGTTCAAGGACAAATATACCTTGAACTAGACCGCAGGACCACCAATGATGCTCGTGCAAAGCTACAGGCCGAACTTGGTGAGATGCGTGGCGTTTTGAAGAGGTTGAGGGAAGCCACTCGTGGAGAATTTGCATGCTTCAGGAAACCGAAAACTCCGAGCTCCTCGAAGTAAATACCTTGAACGTATATACGACAGTCAATGCACTTATTAAATCAAACAAGCGTTATCTATCTTCAAAAGATCTAAATAACTACAAGCTAGCCGAATTGAGCAGGTACATAAGAAATGAAAGACGAAATAAAAGTCCAAGCCGCCCATCCACAAAAAGGGTCTCAAACAAGAAACTTCCAACAGTATACAGAACCCGGAGCTAGAAGAAGAATATATCCTCTTCATTCCAATGCTGTTCAAGAAGCATCTTTTTCACAGACGTCTCTAGAGAAGCAGGGCCACATATAAGCACCATGCTGTTATTTGAGCGCGCGATGTGTCTGGATATCAAATCTTTCGAGATCCTACCACGATATCCACACCATGACTCTGATGCCTGGGTCAAAGTGTGAATAACCTTCAATTTGTTCTTTGTATCGCATGATACAAATGAAGCCAGCTCTGAGCGACACATAATATCATCTTCGGTGCGGTTGCCATCGAGAAGGGTACAAGTTGTTGTATCTTCTGCATCCTGCAAGACTGCTCGGAGAACCTGGAACATTGGTGTGATGCCACTTCCGCCACAGATCATGTTGAATGAGGATATATTCCGCTCTTTGCCGTCTATCATTACCCTACCTCGACCGAGATATTCAAATTTGCAATGGGAGGACAACCTATAGTCCACTTCTGCACCGATAGGTAACTTGTCTAGGGGGACAGTAAGCTGCCCGCCAGCAAAGCCAGGAGCTGGTCGGTATATTTTGATGAGAAGTTCCATGCTTCCTTTCAATGAGGGATCGGATAAAGGAGTAATAGCCCTGATGACACCACTGGAAGGATCATTTGACCTTGTATTGACCTTCAACATGATATGTTGGCCCACACCAATCCCTAGAACCTTTGACGTGTCTGCAAACGAAAATGTGAACAATGCTGTGTCAAGTGATAGGACCTTTTTCTTTGTCAACTTCACTTTTTCCCACTCGTGGATAACTGGAAGCGGCTTGTTGGATTCCCCCTGAGAGCTCTGCAGCTCACGGAGCGCAGCAGGATCAAGTGTTCCGATATGGTAATCCGGCATCATAGCCTTTGCTGATTCACTGTCTAAAATTGATGTAAGCCTCTGCTCAAGTACAAAGTGGATGATGTAAACTCACGGATAGCCAGGAATTCATCTGTACAATCTGTGGCCGCTGTCGAAATGATACTCTGGGCACCTCCTGGATGACCCTCAAGGAACGGAGTACCATCATATACTTCGCCTTCGACCACAAACCAGGGGTCGGTCTCGCGGCTGTTATGTTGCTTGAACTCCTCCAAGGTAATATTAACCTTCAGCCCGGGCTTTTTCATGTTGATCTCAGGCTCAGGAGCTACCTCAACACGCTTAACAGCACCGTTTGGTGCCTCTCCCCAGTTTCCATCCGTTAAGTCACCCCCTGCCTTCTTGACTTGCTCCATCCAGCCTCCAGGCTGAGTGGCGGGCAGAGTGGGATGTTTGAATTTCAATACACCGTTCTCCTTGGAGATAGTGATGCGGAACCAGGGGTTATTCATCATACCAAGTACAGACCAGTACATTTCTCGTGGCTGGATATTCAAGGCTTCGTCCATGGCTCGGACAACAATGCTGTCTGCAGACTCAAGCTCATGTGTTTGCACCTCCAGTGACCAAAAACACCAACAGAAGTATGTCTCTCTCCAGGAAAGGTCAAGTTGACCACCGTAGAGATATTGACTTGTTGCCCTGTACTTGTCTTCGTCGTACTTTATATTCGAGAGTCGCCATGCTACACAAGTCGACGTTAGCGAATTTGCTCATATGATTACAGGAGGTATGGACGGCCTACTTTTACCACTGTCCAAGGAAACCTCTATCCTTGAAACCTGTCTTCCACCACCCCCGTAGGCATAACCTTTGATGGTATATGTAGGCGTTGTGGACATTACCACTTCTTCGTCATGTTGTGGGTAGGCAATTGCCGAATTGACGTTAAGATGTTGAATCACATAGCGTTCATCACGCCACCAACTATCGTCTTCGGTTGCCATTTCAGGGGAGCACATTGTTCTTTATACTCTTAGTGAAAGGCATAATGACACGGAATGATGGTACTTACGGCAGCACTCTGTTATCATATATGTGATACCAGTTATCACTTGGATTTTCTGTCAATATAATCCTGGTGATCCATTTCACGCTCCTACCCCCTATGTGCCCTGGGATAACTGCCCTGAGCGGCCAGCCATGATCTTGACGGAGTGGCTCTCCATTCATCATATAGGCAAGCATAACGCCCATAGCTGGATCCATGGCTGTTGAGAGCCTTATGGATGTGCCGTAGTTTCCGTTTGGCTGTTGAAAAAATTAGTATACAGGATGCTTATTTCGACTTCCGTCAACGGGTGTCAACATACCAAAGCATCAGCCCCTTCCATGCACATGTATTTTGCCCGTCTATCTGGCTTCGCTCTGGTCAGGATGTCGTGCATCATTGGCCCCGTGAATAAGGCAGTTGATAAACCTGCTGCACCCCAGTTGAATCCCTTGGATTTTCGAACCATATTTTGCTCTTTACGACGATTTCCGGCGCAAACAAGGGTAACAGGGCAAGTAACCTGTCGAAAATCGGAAATTATCTGCCGTAGAGTCAGGACGATAGGGTTCTCAACCAATCTAAAAATTGAAGGATTAGCCATATAAACGGAACCTAAAGGTTATCTGGTCAAAGACGCTTTACCCTTCAATAGATAGCTCCCAATTGAGGATATCATCTTGCTCAATAACAGGGACTGCCCCGTGGTTTCGAACAAAAAATAGTTCAGGGGATGTCAGGAATCCTAAGTCATACCGGCTAACATTAGAATTGAATATTGTCTGCAGCAGCACATAAAAGAGGAATAGTACCTTCATCAAACAAGGCAGTGAGAGGAGATTCCGAGTTAAGCGGGTGAACACCAGTCAACCGGATTTGAATAGGGTCCCTTGGAACATGTCCATCTGGAGTTTCCTTGTCTATATCTAAGATCTCCAAAGGCTTCTTAGCTGGAGGCGGAAGGGGAATGTCAAATGTATTCACAAATACATCCCCATTCTTGGTGGGACTTTTCAAGGAAGATAGGCCATTTTCCTTTCCATTGAAAATGGGCAAAGGCTGTATCTGGATGGGTTCAATAGACGGCATGACGGCGTTATTTGGGGAAGAATATTCTGTTTTATCTAAGTAGATACCACATTCCTGTCCAAGTAGCTCTAAATTTCATGGGAATAAAAGCAGAATATATACTGTTCCATTCTCCTCTTCCTCAGGAACATCAGCGGCTATCCAGGTAAAAGTTGAAATGCATCCATGCTGACGCAAGCCCATTCCACGGGGCATCCACGGGGCACAGCGTATTCCAGGGGGGGTCCAGATGAGATCACCCATCCTGATATGAAGGGTATCGGCATCTTGAATCGTGGGCGTGCAACCTGGCTTCTGTTAACCAGCAGCATGCTCTCAGAGCTGGCCTATAGTACAGAATCGAACACAACTCAGGGCTCCGCGGAGATATATAGACCACAGGCTCCCTTGACAGGAAGCGATAGATCTGCATTTTGAGGCGTGCACATCCAGACAGGCTGATAAATGGTATTCGGGGGGATATCGTTCCGCAGCCGCTGTGCAACAGGAGTGTTTCTAGTGGAATCCATCTTCGACGAGGATTGAGAGGACGAGCATGCAACGAGTAGCGATATCAAGCTTTTGGCGGGCTCGAACTGCATGGGCTTATGCAGGATGGCGGAGGCTGGGCGGGATCCCTGTTCCCCATATGCGCAACCAAGTAAAGCTTGATTAAGCTTGAAATCCTCCTCACTTCTTCAAGGGTTTGTTTGAACGGGTACGATTTCGGCATGTTCGTCGCACTGGAAGAGATAGATAGTTATCAGAACAGGAGTGAACCGATGGGAGGAAGCCATCCTGCGGTGGCAGGCCCTTGGAGCAGCCATCGCTTCAGACTCCCACCATTGTTATCCCCCCAAAAAATAAATATAGGACCAGATTTGACTATGTTAGGCGACGGAGAACCCGTGGGCCTAGACTCCTGCAGTCTTTGAGCGACGTTGAACGGTCGAAAACGACTGACTAGTTACTGTAAGACGTTTCCACAAAATAAGTTGCGTATGCATCTTGAGAATGCCGTAAATTCCATTGCATGCTTTAATCACACCGACAGTTTGCCGGATTTTCCAAGGGAAGATTCGGTTGCTCCAGATGTAGTTACAGTATGGGCCATCTTTTACTGGATCGTGGGAAACGTCATCAATCAGCCAGGTGTTCTAATCTGTGCCCAGGAGAAGTGAGACAGCATTCCTAGGCTAGTTCATCAAACAGCTGCAAGGGTGACTGAGTTGCCCATCATATAACCCCGGTAACTTGGGGTTATTCACATAGCAGGCAAACTATGGTCCAGCCATCCCGAATCTTAGTGTCATAAGGCAGATCTCTCTCTGATTCTATGATCTTTTGGACGTAAAGATCCTGGCTGATCTCCTCAAGAAACTATATTCTGCTGATGACCTGGCCTCATGTTTTGCACGAATATGGCCATAAGGAACCTGTTCATATATTTCAGCGACATGGTAGTTATATGCGTAGTCAAAGAATCAGTATATCTTAATTATTGGCCCGGGATCCGGGTGCCGGTTAAGATTTGGATGGTCTCTTAGACTCCGTCACTCAGCAGCTCCCCATTGAAGGAATGGAGTATCATGCATACTGCATTAACATTCACGAACAGGGGATAAATCGGCCACACAAGAGGCACATGGGGTGCCTATGGTCATGCCGAAGTAAGATTTCAGTAATCCAGCGGAAGGGGCTTAGACCCGAAAAGCCAGTCAGTTCATACACTTCGCGATCTCGACGACATTCAGCCCTCGCCATACATACGCCCGCTGTCATAGGTCAGCTAAGTAGGATCAAGCAAACAACGAACAGGCCAAAGTAATTACCACCTTGAAAGAATTAGCGGAATAATTCCCTTCTATTTGCCGGATCTCTTGATATGACCAGAACCGTTCTGAGCATCCCATACTGAAAGATACACCTGGCAAAGATCTTTTCTGACTACTTAGACGGGGCAGCCTCTAAGGTCGTATTGTAGAAGAAAGAAACATCCTTCACATTATCTGCGGCATGAAAATTTGTTTCAGGCATGGTATCCTCCCAAAAAAGGAACTTGATGGATCGGATAAGGAGGATCACCACGAGAACAAGCGATAGGCCTCTCATCTAAAAATGCCTCTCAGAGTAAGATGGAGGGTTACTCACAATAGACCCTGCAGCTGATAGAGGATAACTGCCAGCAGATGACCAATAAGCATCCAATGTTTGATAATCATCTGGTCCTGCTCTGATCCGATTTTCAACCGCGTCTCGGCGAATCCCTCCACAGCACGACGATGTTCAACAAACCTGGGCAGCGAGCAGCGTTCAAAATCATAGTGAGTCCGAGTAAAGGCAAATCCGTTTCTTAATTAAGCTTATCTAGCTTTGCCAGGTATACATGCACCTGTCGTATCCCAATATGGTATCTAGCGAGATCTCCAGTTCCAATGACACATAAGATCAGAATCGTGGCTACCATGCAGTAACGGCAACGATTCGAGGCCACAAGTCCCGAGACTTCAACTTCACCCCTTACGCAGCCGCATTATCAGCTCAAGTTAGGTAGGGTTCGCTAGTTAAGCATTCGGGCCCTATTTAACCGTACCGACCCTCCCGGCGGACGGACGATGGGGACATGGGTATCAGGCAGATCAGCAACGAAACACACATCTAGAAAGGAGCCGTCTCGACGAGGACATTCATTAGACCTCCTAATTCCATCTGGAGGCACTCGGCTTCGGTCTAATATAACGGCGATAACCAGTGGCGTCCATCTCATCTAGAAGCAGTCAGGATCCTTCGCTTGTTGAACCTGGCTGCATCGACATCTTCCAGGGTTGGCCCCTTGGCCGGCGTAAGGAATCTCCGCGGAAATCAGAATGAGACATCGCCAATGAAATCGGGCCCAGGCAGGATATATATCGCCTGCTCGCTCGCTGCAGAGTTGCGCAAACAGCCAGAGGAGCGAGTGGTTGCTAAGTGTTGTAGGTTTGGTCGCAGTGAAGTCCAGGAGGAGCAACAACAATGCCAAAACACGTGGTTTGCACTGCTCAAGACTTCTTCCAGCTTTTCTCATTCTTGAAAACACTCGCTGCCTCGCTGCTGGCCTCGTGTGTGTGCGTGTGTATGGGATAGACGTGATCCACCGCCAGCTGTGAGCGTCATCGGCTTCTTTCAGAGCCCTTCCGGGTGGTATATAACTAACTTGTCAACGTCCATGACTCCTTCGTCGTGTAACTAGATAACTAACCAGCTGGCTGAGAAACGCCTCGTCCATGCGTTCGCCATGAGGGCTCCAAAAACTTCCATCTTACACCACCAGGATCCCATATGGTATCAGGAATATTCGAACAAGGCACACCGATAAGCGGTAGTATGCAGGTGTTCCGAGGGATGTCAGCCCCGTTGTGAGATTGTCCTACATTGCCCAGACATGTCCGGTCATATATACCCTTCTATAATCATACGTCAAACAACCTGAGATGGCACAGGATATTATCCATCAGCATGAGCTCCCCTGATTATAGCTCCTGGGAAATTGTATCAGCAGGGTAGGCCGCTCTCAACGAGATGGCAGGTGCCTGCTCAAAGTCATCCCCTCCGTGCGCTGGTGTGATATCGCATCTTATCATGGCCAGGGGATATCAGGTCAGCTGTAGGTCAGCCACTCATGGGAGGAGGTATTATGCTGTTCAAGACTATTGATATATTATTATCTATCGGGAGCTCATAGTTGATCCTGATGATGGACAACTCGGGCCCTTGACTTCATTCTAAGCGATATCCCTGGGTACATCCCAAAGTTCTTCAGAGCTTGATATCTACTTCTCCGCCCTGGAGAACAATGACACAAGCAACTGGTTAGGATAGCCCATACAACTCATCAAAACTAAATATAGCGGCGTTAGTTCAACCTCTAAAGACTGCAGTTAAATGTTGGATATATACTGGATATCAACAGTGTCATCTGTCAACTTTATATACCCCAAAATAGACCCACAGGCAGCTAAAAATGCAGCTGATATATGTTCTCCTTGCGGCGTGCACCGGTGTATCTGGGCATATGGAGATGAAAATGCCTTATCCATTTAGAAGGTGAGGGCATTTTAGGACAGCAAAGAACTGTGGCATCTTACTAACATCGGTCATAGCAAATTTAACCCAGAAAACAAATATACCGATATTGACTACTCTATGACCAGCCCCCTGAATGCCGATGGTATGAGTTACGCCCTATCGTTGGAATGGAGTAACAGCAAGACAGAAATATAAATCTGTTTCAAGGCTGACACGCCCTTCTGTAGGCTCGAATTTTCCTTGCAAAGGATACCATTCCAACACCACTTTCCGTGCAACAGCAAATTACACAGCTGGCCAAATATACTCCCTGGAACTATCCGGCACCGCAACCCATGGCGGGGGATCCTGTCAGGTATCCCTCAGCCTCGACAACGGCACATCTTTTCGGGTGATTAAATCCATGATGGGAGGATGCCCACTTACGGACATGTACAATTTCACCATCCCCAGGGACACGCCGTCCGGAAGGGCTATGCTAGCCTGGACCTGGTTCAACTTATTTGGGAACCGTGAGATGTATATGAACTGTGCTCCAGTGATGATTAATAACTGCGCTTCAGGCGCTTCCAGGACGTTGAATCCTGAGCTTCCGAAGCTGTTTGAAGCTAATATCGGAAATGGCTGTATGACCATCGAAGGAAGAGAGACGGTGTTTGCAAATCCGGGGTGCGATATTATCTATGGTGGAAACGTCACTGCTGACAATCCCCCAATGCCTAAATGTGAGTAAGAGACTCGCCCGGGAGTGTTTCAAGCAGCAGAACGCGATAGTTACCAGAAGCTCGATATTACACCTCAGAATCGCGTTCGCGACTTTACTTACAAGCCGGATTACCGCATCTCTAACGCACGAAACACGATTGATAACCATATTATATTTTACCTGCGGCATCCGCCCTTTACCCCTGTTTTCGCCATAGTTAAGCTGCTGGGTCTCTCTCCCTTTTTTTCATTATTATTTATTCCCACATCGTATATTTACAACAACGGCCCCTTTGCGGGCCTTACCTTTCGCTACAACCTTCTTTTACGACAGCACAATCACCTCCAGACTAACCACTCCTCCGGCTTGAGGATATGAGGCCACTTCACAGATCTATGACGTTTTGTTGCCATTTATGTGGCACATCAGCGCTACACTAATGATGTTCTGGTACCACTATCCCTATACAGGCCATATAAATATAGATGAGAGAGGGGAAAGGGGGAAGGGATATCCAAGTCCATCGACTTGTTCGCCACGCGGTACTCCAAACAACTCTTTGACCAAACGGGGCCGATCTTAATTTCAGTCACGGACGAGGGGGAATACGAGACGGACATTACGCCTAGCAAACGAATACCGAATAATATACTCCGTACCTCTCAAGGCGGGCAAAGCCTCACGCTCATCGCACGATGGAGAGTCCAAGTGTCATCTCAAACCCACGAATGCCCACCGCAGTTCCGTTTCCAACGGCGCGGGGCATAGAATAAGGGGGCGTCGTTAAGGAGGGAGAGAGGGGGGGATGTGGGTAGCAGAAGCAACCAAGGAACAGGCGGAGGAGATTGAGATGTGCATACCGCCATTTTGAACATGTGCATGCCTACTTACTCTGTGCAAGCAATATGTAGATCCATAAGAGGGTCACAACGGTGATTTCCTCGCTTTCTGGTCTTTTATTTCTCCTTGGTGGGCAAAAGTAGCTAACTCGCACTAGATCCCCACCATCTCAGTGGTTGAAGGGCCAAACTTCCCCATAAACTTGTTTCAAGCTGGCTGATCGTTAACCTACGGGCGACTAAAACAGAAAGCTACTTTACAGCTAGGGCCCAATTTCAAGAGGAAACAAAGAGAAAAATGAGCTATTCATTGCACCAAACGCCCTCATAGCATAGCTTCGAGATGAAAGCGAGTTTAAAAACGGGAGTGGCCACGGGAGAGGTCCCAAATTTAACTCTATAACTACAGTACGCGGCCAGCGGGCTCAGCAACTCGATACGGCGAGGAATTAACCAGAAAGAAGGATGACGAGTCGCTTGTCTGCTTGTCCCGGAGACGAACAACGTGGGAGATGCAGCCAATGGGACCAGACAAAGGCCGTGAGGACATCAAAAAAGACTTGTCTCATGAAAATGCCAGTGGAGGAAAACCTGCCTTGACCTGATCAATCAAGGCATGTTAGAGTTGCACCATCTGCAAGGCTCAGAGTAGTTTCCATCCAGCTGGGTACCTGCACGCAAGTAACACCTCGCTGTGGCTGGTGTAGCCAGGTATCCAATAGTTACCTGTTCTCGCTGTGTACTTGCGCTGCCCGTGGCTGGCTGGCGGGCGCAGGTGCATGACAGCTGCCATCCCCAGGGCATATGTATCATACAGACAGACAGACAGACAGACAGACACAGAGAGAGAGAGAGCATCTGCATCTGCATCCCATGGCTGTCGAAGAGGATGCGAAGGATGGGGCCTTCCCGCTGCCTTTTCCCTCCACCGTCTCCTTATTTTTCGGTATTTTCCTTACTTTACGCCGGGCGTATTCGGCAAAACAGGTACAGATACTGGGCCGTACGATACCGCCAAGCGCCAGAAATACCATACCACTAGTAAGTTATTCTCTGGCGTTTTATTTTTGGCCGTCTTTTTCGCTCTTTCCCTTTTTGCTTTTCCGTTTGGCTTTTGCGATGCTTTGCTCCTCGAGCTTCGACCTCTCTTGATGCACCACGAATACAAAAGCTGTATCACGCGAGGCCATCTTGCATATCGATTATCTGCTGCCTCATGCATGATCGCGCTACTCCCTCCTCTTCTCCTCTCCAGCACGAGCTGAGCTGAGAAGAGGAGAGGAGAGGCTGTGGAAAGTTGCCGGTATTAGCCGTTGGGATCTGTCCATCGTTTGCGATCACATCACATCATGGGATAAGATAACGGTGTGATGGACAGGCAGCGACTTGACGATAAGAGCGGTGGGCTGCTGTGATGGGCACGGAGAAGGAGACATTACTCTATACGGAGTGACGCAGGCGCCGGACGGTCATCGTCCGCCCCTACCGTGTGTATCTGATTGGAGTGGGAAGAGCAATGAGCAACGATCAACTACACATACCGAGCAGAAAGCGCATGGCATGACGGGAGGGGAAGAGCGCATTGTCCCCGTCCATCCATCCATTCGCTCAGATTATTCCATATGTCCGGGTTTCCCGATGCGGAAGAGCGTGCTTCGGAGTCGAGAGAAGATCGATCAAACCCATGATGAATGTTGGTCCCCTAGTGGGGTAGGAAAAGCAACAACTTCCCCCCAGCCTGTTGCTCTTCAATATCTCCAAGAAGAATGTACGGACAGCAAGGCTGTAAATGGTCGCTGTTGGGTCCAATAGTGATAAATTAACCATGCAAGTTACCTGGTCTGTGAGAGGCGCAGCTTTGTCCCCTTTATTTTCTTTTCTTTTCCCTTCCCTTCCGTTCCTCCCTCCCGCAGGGCCTGAGCTGAAGGGATGGAGTATATAATTCCTTTGCTAAGTATTCACTTCACATTTCCCAGGGTGTGGACTGGGTGCCCCGGGTACTTGCATATACCGGTATCCCACGGAGCAGAGGGCAAGCCACACTTTATATGTACGACTTTCCTGCGCGAGAGCCTCGGTTAGGTCATGGGGATAAAAATAAATGCTATACTAAGAGTACTCCGTAAAAATAACGGAATACAGGCATGGCGTCTGCTGTCCAGCCACAGCTTGTACTCGCATAGGGAACGTTGACACTGTAGATGGCCCTCTCCGCTGCCTATCGTATGTCGCAACTAATGTTATCCCGTAAAAGGCAGCGATACCTGTGCATCTCGGCAAGCGTCTCCCCCGTTATATCACGTCGACTTTTAATTAATCGAGACTGATATACCGTGTCCCGTCATTCTAGCCTAGTGTATACCATATAACTCTGGCTGAATACAGCCCTGGGTGTAACAAAATTCATTGTTCCCACTCTGCCGATGCTCTATTACGTCTCTTTTTTATAGATTACGTTATCTTCCCCGATCGCCTTCTAGCCCTATATATACCCTCTAATACGGACAATATTCCATACCGGTTCTTACTTCACTCAACATTATTAGACACCCAGAGAACAGGCAATGTTCTTGGTACAATACAGGAGCGCTACCGTAACTCCTTCGTCGCCGAATATCGGACCTGCTCTTCTGTCCATTAAAGAAGGCAAAATTCAAAGTAAGCCGATAGTGGCTTGCAAGAACCATAGATAATTGAGTCTAGACCAAGCTTTCTTTTAGAAGGCACGGAACCGCTCCTGGGTCAGGGACACACTCACCAATGGCTTTCATTATCCCGGTGTATGACTCAATTTTATAACTCCTCCGGAATCTAGAAATGTAACCGACTGGGCAGAGTTTATTTTGGCGGTACAAAACGCAGGATACACAATGACTCCTTTGGAGAAATTGCTGCATTTATGCGTCCAATGGTCTTGTAGCCACTAGAATTGCGCCAGAGGTTAATTTAAGTAGTATAACCCCAAAGTTATCTCAGCTAGAGAAAGCTGCCTTGAATCGGGATACAGATAGCAACTTAGCAAATCCGTGAGCAGTTTGTCAGCCTCCAAAACCTTGGTTATATAAAAAAAGGAGTGACCTCCCTGTCTGGAACTGTCAGAAGACAATACTGGGTATTCAATCATACATAGGTAGGCCTGGATGGAAGTTGAATATTGGAGTGTTTTGTCTGTCCAGCGAAGCTCTAAATGGTGGAGAGTTTGCGCAATTTTCTTCGCTAACCAATTACGAACAGCTTAACTAAGCGAATTGACATTTTTGTGGTCCGAGCGTGACCCACATTCCGCGGATTAACAATAACCCTAATTTATTTTGATTATATAATCCATATCAAGCAGGTTTGCAGGAGAAACTGGCGGCAAGAGGAGTGTAAAAGGACTTCTTTAAGGCTTGGAGTTGGAATTTTGACAACTATTAAGAGTCCGAATGATACACAGTGGTAGTTCTAACTGGCGGCCAAACCTGCCAAGCTTGTTGAGTATCTTGAAAGGCGATATACATTCTGGGATAGCCGCTGCTAAAGAGTTTCACTGGGGGGTATTTTTGTATTTTGATATTCTTTATATAAATTCAAGCATACAGATTCATCCGGCTGCGACATGATGTTTTGTCTCCTATCGTAGTCTTTGACTGGTTGGTGATGGATTGTGCGGGTATATTTCTTGTATCGATCGTGACACTGCCGACGTGGTATGTTGTTCGAGGTGGGATAAAGAAAAGAAAAGAAGAGAAAGAGAATCACATTCCTTCGTGAAATGACGGAATATTCCTTCCAAAGCCACCAACTAGCAGGTAGTTAGTTGGTTGTATTTTGCAGCTGCTTTTACCATCACGACTATCTTTTGGGCCGGGGATTAGAGTTTCATTAACTGTAGTTTCACAAACTGAGCCAATCAGTGCCATGAATGCCTTGCCTTTTGCAACGGGTTGGTGGTTGAGCATTTTTATTGGACAAACCTTCCGACTGTATCCAATAAAATCACGTAAAATATTTGGCTCATTATAATACGACTTCAGCCTCCAACTCCTTCGTTATGCAACCTCATGTTCCGTCTTCGGCTTTCTCAAGATATCAAGATCGCAGCCTAGCACTGACTTATTTATAGCCTCAAAGCTAGGGGGAAGAGGATTCATCATCGATTGTATGCATATACGATAAAAAACAGCCTCTAATGAGGAAACCAAGGTAGCCAATTCCTTGTTGGCGCGCCACAGGTGGTGGCAGGTGAGCGGGGGATGTGAGAACGGGTGGGCTTAGGATTCTCGGGCTTTGGACTAATATCTGCTCCTCGCTTGTCTTCTTGTCATCTTCTTCCTCCGTACTCGTTTGCTGCCTGCCCTGGTCTAGTAGTACACACGCCGCAATGGCTTGTTTGACTGTTCCACAGCAAGCACGGAGTAGGATCAGAAGCACTTGACACAGCGTATGTATCCATCTCTTTTCTCTACTCTGTTTTCACCCTTGCGCCTTGCTCTTGGGTGCTTTGAGTAATCAGTGGAGATTAACTAGTTTGATGAGTCAATCCAGCGGTCAAGATGGCGCGAGTTGAGAATGCAACTAATCATGTCATCGTGCTGGTCTAGGGGGAAAAAAAGGACAGAGTCATGGTTGGCTACTTTTCCGTTTTCTGTTGGCCGTGTGATAGATGCGACTGATGTCCGAGAGGATGGTTCGCGATCTTCTCGGACATGATCAAAAAGAAAAGAACTCCCACGAGATAACTAACTACTCGGCTCTCTCTCGGGGTTTCCTTTCCCCTCTTCCTTTTCCTTTACGGGGTACCCGTCAACCTTGGCGAAGGTGGTAGTTTAAGGTCAAGTGAAGGGCGAAGCGAGGTTGGTATGTGATAGTGACTCTGTCTGTGAGAGATTAGTTGGCGCTTACTCGTACCCTGAGACACGTTGAGGCAGAACGAGAAAAAAAGGAAGAACTTACATGGAAACTATTAATAATTCTGACAACCCCGGCCCCTAGCTAGTTAACGATCTTGCGCCCACCGTGGAGCCCAGCAGCTCGTTAGTTCGTGCGGAAGAGATGGAGTGCTGGTTGGGTTCGTTAAACGTTAGGAGGCAGTCAAGATTGTCTCTGGGTGGACATGGGCAAGCCACAAACGTCCATATCAGCCATCAAGCAACGAGTAACCCTCCCAACGCCTTTTTTTTAAGCCTTGCAGTTGTGAGAGGGGAGATACGCTGCTGAACGAGTTACTCGATATCAGAAGCAAGCCAACCTGGCCTGTCGGGGTTGCTGCTGGGCCTTTCTGCCTGCCCTGCCCTTACCTGCGGGGCGGCATGCCTGATCCATGCATACATTCTGATCATACTTACATGCTGTTAGACATCCATAACTAGTGACCTGGTTGAATGGCTATGCAGGCTGCACATGTGTGTGTGGTATGCAGTACGATGTGCAGCCGCTATGAAAATAGCCCTTCAGCTACTGAGGACATTCATGTACGAAACAACGACCTGCAGCCCAATCTAATATCCTCTTCTGGTACCCGATTCGTTTTTTGAGTCTTAATTTTCTCCATATTGCGTTTTCTTCTTTTTGATGCTTCCGCCTGGCTCGTTAGTTGATCAACTATTCAGAAAGAACCCGCTCAGCCTAGCTGGCCCCTGGAGAAGTATATGACCAGGTCGGACCGGCTCTGCCATCCGGTCCAGTTGGTTTACGCCTGTGCAACGAGCAGGGGGGGAAGGGGGGGGGGGGGGGGGGCTGTCGTTCCTCATTCTGGCGCGTAGTTAAATAATATCTGGTTGCATTATACGTATATATTGAGCGGGTGGGTCGGTTAGCAGGTCGATGGGGATAGGGTAGGAGGATTCCAAGCCAACAGCCAGGGCTCCTTAGCGTCCCAGTTCTCGTTGAGAGAGTTTCTTGCTGTGAGCTGCGACTCTGCTGTGAGATCTTCTGCTAGCCTCGATAATCTGAAACGTTACTTTGATGCACCTCGATGTACTATTTGCGGAGTACAGAGGGGAAGGTCGACGGCCCTATGGATACTGTGCGAAGTGTAATACTCCGTATACTCTGTAAATTATAGTGACCACTTCTCCTCTGCCTACCGACAAAGGCAAGGCATGACAAGGCACGACAGGGCAGGGCAGGAAAGGTCGGGGTATGGCCTCCGTAAAGGATGATACATACCATGTTAACCAACAATTAACATTTTAACCCAGAGTAAAAAAATAAAAAAAAAAAATAAAAAGCTGGGTAAGCTGGATCAACCAGTCTACCAAGTAAACCGAGCAACCCAGAGCAT